CTGCATTTGGACTGAAGCCATTTCCTTTTCGCTCGTGTTGTTAATTTTGTCCTCTACTTTGCCTGATGCCATATAATTCTGGCCACCACTAATTCTTGGGGGTTACAGTCAAGAATGAAGAGCGCAGCTAAGCCAGGTTAGCATTCCGGCCCTTGTTTGGCCTTACTGAATGATTCCAGCAGTTATATTGACACTGACCCACCTGATATGAATAAATGCATAAGAGGATTCTTGATCCCCTGAGTGGAATGATAAGAGGACACTGACATACTGTTCTAGCATTCCTGCTCTCTCCATTGTCCACTGAATAACATGATCATGAAATTTCATGAAAGCCGCTATATAATTCAATAAATTTCCACATGGAAGAAATTTCTATCATATCTTAGCACCCTCCACCTCCACCCCCTGGCTACTCTAAATCCAATTTCTCTTGATTTTTTTTTCCATCTTTTAGGACTAATTTCATTGATTCTTAAATGTGTCCAAAATCTACCTGTGGCAGTGCAAGCATACTCTAATATGTCTGTATGATAAGGCACATACTAATCACAAGTCTTAGCCACTTTGTTACTGTGTCACTCTCAAACAGATATAACTTTTCATTGTTTATTCCCTTTTGCTACTTCAACGTCCTAAACACTCCAATTGAGACATACTTAGGAGAGCTTAAGAGTGCAATTAGGTCTGGCACGAAGCTGAGATACTTATTGAAATATACTTATTTGGAGTTAGCACAAGGGATCGATGAGTTTGGATTAAGTAGGTTAAATGGAGAGTCACAGTGCCATGTTATGGATGGTTTATGGTGAGTTAGAATGTGGAACAGACAACAGTGAGATTAGATCCCATGTTTAGTCCATTTGAATTGACTTAATTCAATGCAGACACTCAAAACAAGTGTGCTCATTCTTATCATTAATCCCCACAAATCATCAATTTATAGACAACACAACATTGTATGCTTGGTGATGCAAATAAGCATTTTTAAGTCATATTCACAATAAAATAATAAGGTTGTATTCACAAGAGAGCCAATACCCTTCATTTTTTTATCAACAGGGATTATTAAATCTGTTTTCAGTAATGGAGATGTTGCAGATATTCCTGGAGCAGCGGAGAAAGGAAGAGAGAGAACAGGTGAGACAGAAGGAAGGTGCAGTCAAATGCAGTTAACATCATCATTTGGAAATTAAAAGAGAGAAAGATAGTAGACAGCAAACACGTGACATTTTGAATCAATGAATCATGCTATGTTTCACTTCAAATTCCTCCGGGTATGTAGGGTTGCCAACTCTGCTAGGATATATTCCTGGATGCTTGATCATATGGATTCTCACAGCCAAACTCCCTGCCCAGTCAAACTCCCAGACCAATAAAAAATCCACTCAAAACCCCATGATTTTTCTCAAAGTTTGAACATGGAAGTGTCCAGGAAATTAATCGCACACTTCTGGGGACTCCAGGACAACCCTGGAGGGTTGGCAACCCTATGACTCAGGCGAAGTTATCACTCTTAAATGTTGTGTCTTAGTGAGAAGGTACTAAGCAGAGACTGGGTGGGACCTGAAAAGAAAATCCAAACAGCTCCGCGCAATGTCACCCAGAGCAACATCCCACCGTCTCAGCCAGAGAGAGAGTCTGAAGCGCAAAAACAGGTGGAACAGAACCTCACCTTCCAAAAGCAAATCTATCAATTGAAAGATCAAGTCAAACCAGAGGCAAAACTACTGTTAGAAAACCGAGCCTGTTAAAGTCTATAACGCAAAAATGAAACTTCATGCATGCTCAAAAATTAATGCATTTGCTGTTAATCTACATCAGGCTGCACAAACTTGGCAGATTGCAGTGCTTTCGATCAAGAGCTGCTGGCGTTTCCAAAACATAGTGCAATCTCCGAAATTACTGTTCTTTACAGATACTTCTGGTTATAGCCTTATACAGACGCACACTGCAGATACCAAGAGCTAAAGAGCTGTCAGCTCCACTATCTCTGCTAAAGCACCCCAGACTGTTGCAACTCAAGGCCAAATGCACAGCAAGCAGCCCCAAACTCAGAAAACCATGCAGGTTACCTTTGCCTGCCCCTGGTGCAGCTTGGTGAATCACTGTTAATTGTGAAAGAGAGGGAGAGAGATGGGAAGGGAGAAAGGAACATTGAAAAGAAAACACAGATGCTGTATAATTAAGAGCACGCTGGGAATACGTTGGAAACATGCAGAAAGAAAGACAAATATTAAAACACAATGACACCATTTACAAATTCAGCAGATTTTCTTTTGTAAAGAGAGCCAGGGGACTTGCATTGACACAACGGCTAAATAACAAGCAAGCACGATCAGAGGAGAAATTTATCATGGATCACAGCCGAAAACGTGCGCGATCAAACTGAGAGACAGCCATCCTCTTGTCCACTTCCAGCGACTTCAATGGGCTGAACTGAGCACACATACCTCATACCATCAACCCCAAGGTAAACGTTTACCCTGACTTGTTGGTCTGATGTTCCTTCACTTCGATAGGAGCTGTAGCAAAAGGTATCTGCCTGCTCCCATCCCACAGTGGAATTTTGGGGGTAGAGTAGGAAGCTGTTTCCACACATCTCAATGATAACACGAACAACCAGGACCAAACAGTGAACTTTGCGCTCCTCTGTCAACACATGAAACAGTGCCAAAATTCCCAGCAGAATTCCAACACACTGACCCCTTGGGCTCCCAACATTTGCCAGCTATCAATCAGCTGTAGTTTCCCCAGGCAAGGTAACGGGAGTATGACATGCTGGGAAGACCGTAGCGTTCAGGGTCAGGAGTCAATCGATCCATTGGGTCAGCTGAAGACTTGCAAAATATGCCACAGTCTTTTTACACTTCATTTTAATTTCAAGAATGAATGCTGGGTGCAGTCCACAGCCTTTGGAACAAAGTCTATCACTCTTGTCAACAATTCTCACAGTTTCTGATTCACATGCAAGCTTATCACTATCCTCTCAGCCTGCTGGATCAACACTGGCCTCTGTGTGGCAGCAAATCATCAGCAAATGCTTGATGCAATTTATTCTGAATCACTGAAATCATTCAAATTTTTCAAAAGATGGAGGAGTCTAACAGGTGAAACCAAACAGTGGAAATACTCCATGCTTCTGTTCAGTGTTGGTGCACATGGAAACCAATTGGCTGAACGAAGCTCAAAATCATCTGGCAAAACACACACACACACACACACTTTCGTAAAGACTAACTTAATACAAATACCCACTGGGATTGGCAGGCAGCTTGTAAATCTGGCAATCCATAACATTAGTCAATGAATACAATCCACCAATCCCCTGAATTTCCAGGTTCCACGTGAAACACAAATTCTCAAAATTTGTGACAATGTCTTGCTGTTTTAAAAACACTGTTGAATCAAACACCTTTCCCCCCTCAAAATCTCCTGCACAGCTTGCTTCATTTCCTTATACAGCCACCACTTGTAATTTTTTTAAAATTTACCCATGGGACGTGGTCTTCATTGGCTAGGTCAGCATTTATTGCCCATGCCTGGACAAGATGGTGGTAAAATTCCTTTTTGAACAACTGCAGCCCACGTGCTGGAAAGACACTCTCAGTTCTGTTACGGAGGGAGGTCCAGGATTTTGGCTCGCAGTGACAGTGAAGGAACGGCAATATATTTCCAACTCTGGACGCCGTGTGGCCTGGAAGGGAATTTTACAAGTTGCGATGTCCTCAGTGATTGCTGTTCTTCTCCTTCGAGATGCTGGTGGTCCTGTGTTCGGACGGAGCCTTGCAGAGTTGCTTCTAGTGCATCCTGCAGATGGTACACACTGCTACCACTGTGCATCAGTGGAAATTATTGCAGATAATGCATGGGGTACCAATGACGTGGACTGTTTTGTCCCGCACGGCTAAGCCGTGGGATGAGAATAGGCTTTGCTACCTGTACCTGCCGTATCTCGACAGTCTTGCTTTCGGAGTGGAGAGCAAGCAGCGTAGCCTTGGAACTGCAGGCCAGAATCTAGGGTGCACAGAGCTGCCAGCCCCGTCCATTCCCCCACCCACCCTGCATTCTTCAGAGTTTCTTCAACCCCTGCCATTTGCTGCCCTCGCCTGGAAAGGCCATTTTGATTGGGGACTAGTTAAAGGCACTACCTTTCTCACTGCCACCCTCCAAGTGTGGCCATTCACAGGCAGCCATTCTTCATGCATGTTCATTATGTTCCTTCCTCAGGAACTGCTGGGAAGACTTGCAAGTTCCTTGCTACCCTGACAACTTCCTAGTTGAGGCCACAGATCCTGGGAAGACCACCAATGATGGGGTCTCAGGATCACAGTGAAGCAATCCTCCCGATTCAACGCCTTGACTTAAAGGTGAAAAACTCATCGCGCAAGTGAGACTTTTCATCTTCAAAAACAACCTGAAGGAGACCAGACCTTTCCAGAGGTGCAAATGTCACCATCAAGTAAGGAAAGATGCTATCTGCTAGGTATACAGTGAACTGATCTGGTGTGATCTAATTCTGATCCGAGTTAGCTGTCGCATTCTAGACAAAACCAGCAGTGGAAGGAATACAAGACTTGACCACACGAACACGATAGTAGGTGCAATCACAATTGGCCTTCAGGACTGATCCTAACTCGTGCCCTGGTCATCCTCACGAGAATAGCTTTGGGCATGTGCAGAGGGGGTTACTGGGTAAGAACACTCTGGGTAGTTTTTAACCTTCCCATTAAGCTGGTGGTCCACCATTAGCAGCTTGTAAGCCTTTGCTGCACCAGAGCCTGCTGCTCTATATATCTTATGCTTCCGACAAGACTGTGGCTTCATCTCTGAACGTGTACAAGACTGAGACATCATCTGTACATATATTTTTTTTTAAAAGGTCACAGAATTTGAACAAACGGAATCATCTGGAACATTTTGAAAAGTAATGTTAAAGAATGGCACTGACAGCAGAGAACCAGCTCAAACAAACAAACAAACTCTCGCTGCAGCTGTACCTTCATCCAAGACAGTAATGGCCTCTTCAGTTAACTTGCTGCCAGCTCCCACACTGGTGAAGGCGTTGAGATAGAACTTGTAGCGAGTGCTGTAGTTCAGGTTTTTCAAAGTCCAGTTGGTTTCATTCTCTGCAGGGATTGTGATCTCCACCAGAGGGCCTAGTTCATGCGTACTGTTAACTGAAAGGGAAGCAGCAAATACATGTCTGTACTGGAAGCAAGTGATTCCACTGTCATGTTATGCACCGGGGACAGTTTGATGACTACACACTGTCATTTAGCTAGCAATTAATGCTTTACAATATTCCAATTGCAAACAGCCCTGCACATCAATTTCACTATAATTCCACGTATTTAACATCACATTAGCATACTTTGCCACATTTCAGCTGTCATGCTTTTGTAAATGCAGACTGTTTGAAGCTAGTTAGCTCACAGTTTATAATCATCAAAGGACAACAAGTCACAATTGAAGAGAAAGGAACGTACAAATTTGTCTCGGAGAAACATACCTCCACAGAACTCATCCGGTCATGAATGAAATAAGCAAACGGCAAAGTCTGTGGATTTGAAAAATGGATCGGGCAGAATTCTCCAATTATTTAAATGTTTTCTGTTTAAACTGAACTGTCTGTGATCCTGCTGCACCTTTTCCCTAAGCTTGTACTCTCTCATGAACTGTTCAACTTTGAATATCTTCCCCTTCTGATAATAAGGCATGTATTTGGAACATTAACTTTATTAGTTTCTCTCAAGATACTACTTGACCCACTGATTAATTCTGATCTGTTCCTGTTCTTCAGCTTTTCACCATCCAAAGCATTTGCTTTAGAATCCTTAACCATTCATAGAGTCATACAACTGTACAGCATGGAAACAGACCCTTCGGACCAACCAGTCCATGCCGAATGTAATCCCAAACTAAACTAGTCCCAACTGCCTGTGCTTGGTCCATATCCCTTCAAACATTCCTTATTCATATACTTATCCAGATGTCTTTTAAACGTTGCAACTGTATCTGCATCCATCACTTTCTCTGGCAGTTCATTCCACTCACGAACCTCACTCAGTGTCAAAAAAGTTGCCCCTCACGTCCTTGTTAAATCTTTCCCTTCTCACCTTAAAAATATGTCACATAATTTTGAACTCCCCAATCCTAGGGAAAAAAACCCTGGTCATTTCACCTTATCTATGCCCCTCATGATTCTATAAACCTCTACAAGGTCACCCGTCAACTTCCTTTGCTCCAGTGAAAGAAGTCACAGCCTTTCCAGTCTATTTTTATATCTCAAAGCATCCATTCCTAGCAACGCCCCGCTGAGTCTTTTCTGAACCCTCTCCAGTTTAATAATATCCTTCCTTTAACAGGGTGACGAGAACTGCACACAGTACTCCAAATCTGAAATACCTGTTCAAACGCAGGAAAAAGAATAGCTCATTAAATCTAGCCCATTATTTAATCATATCATGGCTGATTTGCTTATAAATTAATCTACTTGCCTTGTTGGATTGCCCTTAATAACCTGCCCTGTCAAGAATCTATCATACTTATTTTTAAAATGTTCAATTCACTGCCTACCTCGATATTTGGGGAGTAGGGTTCAGATACCCAAGAATTCTTGTGAGCAAGTGCTTCCTGGCATCATTCCTGAACAAGAGAATTCTCACCTACAAGTTAACACCCCTGTTCTGGTTGCCTTCAGCAAAAGATCACACTTCTTACTACTTTCCTGATCAAATCCTATAAACACTGCCATTAGATCGTACTTTAGTTTTTTTTATGTTCAACGTAGTGCAAGTTCAGTCGTTGCACAATGGTCTCAATGTAACCAGTTTAGAAAATAGCAGAAAAAAAAAATCTATAAATTAATCTTACATCATCATAGAGGCAGAACAACCACCTCTGAACTTTGGGGAGGGAACCCACCCCGCTCAGTAAATTAGTTACCTCCCAACACAATTTATTATGGATGGAGAGAGAATGCACAAAGTTATTTCAGAGATGAAAGTAATATTTTTGGACACAAAAGATTGCAATGCCACAATTAACACTGGTCACACTTTGGATGCTTATCAGTGTGAACCCTCCTCATGTGCCAATAGAGCAAATCACTGTCCTACTCTCACCAATTGTACAGCCTCAAATTTGGAGGTGACTCAAACAACAAAACTGGGTGTTGGCTTGTGGGTATGGAACAGTGCAAAATCAGTCCACTACTTTCACTGTTTATTTTCATACTGGGGGAAGGGACAGCAAATTTGACGAATTGCACATTCCTGGTATTGAGTTTTTTGTGCCAGAAGTACTTGTTAGGAACAAGATACTTAATTTTGCTCACATTAAATAATCCGAACAATTATTGTTGGCAAAGTTTGCAATTAGTTTCAATACTGCGTCGTGATTTTGCTCTGATATAATTGCTCGACTATTAATCGAGAAACTCAGTGACTGTTCTGGGGTTCGAATCCCACCACGGCAGATGATAACATTTTAATTCAATTTAAAAAGAAATCTGGAATTAATAATCTAATCACGATCATGAAACCATTGTTAATTGTTGGGAAAAACCATCTGGTTCACTCATGTCCTTCAGGGAAGGAAATCTGCCATTCTTACCTGGTCTGACCTACATATGTAACCATACCCACAGCAAAGTGGTTGATTCTCAAGTACCCTCTGAAATGGTCTGACGGGCCACACAGTTATATCAATTGCTATAAAATCTCAACAAAGAAATGAAACTGGACAGACCATTTAGAATTGACATTGACACCAGAAAAGACAATGGCAGAAACAGATCAACCCTGCAAAGTCCCCTCACTAACATCTGGGGGCTAGTGCCAAAATTGGGAGAGCTGTCTCTCAGACTAATCAAGCAAAAACCTGACATAGCCATACTCACAGAATCATACCGTACAGACAATGTCCCAGACACCACCATCACCATCCATGGATATGTCCTGTCTCACCAGCAGGACAGACCCAGCGAGGTGGCGACACAGTGGTATACAGTCACGCGGGCACTGCCCTGGGAGTCCCCAACACTGACTTCGGACCCCATGAAATCCCATGGCTTCAGGTTAAACTAGGGCAAGGATATTTCCTGCTAGTTACCACATACCATCCTCCCTCCACTGATGAATCAGTACTTCTCAATGTTGAGCAACACTGAGAGGAAGCACTGAGGATGGCAAGGGCACAAAGTGTACTCTGGGTAGGGGATTTCAATGTCCACCAATATGGCTCGGCAGCAGTACTACAGATCGAGCTGGTCGGGTCCTAAAGGACATACCTGCTAGCCTGGGTCTGAGGCAGGTAATGAGGGAACCAACAAGAGGGAAAAACACATTTGACCTCATCCTTACCAATCTGCCAGCTGCAGATGCATGTGGCCATGACAGTATCGGTAAGAATGACCACCACACAGTCCTTGTGGATATAAAGTCCTGCCTTCACACTGAGAATATCCTCCATCGTGTTGTGCGGTCCTCTCACTGTGTTAAATGGGACAGATTTTGGACAATTCTAGCATCTTAAGACAAGGCATCCATGAGGTGCTGTGGGCCATCAACAGCAACAGAATTGCACTCTAGCAAAATCTGTAACCTCATGGCCCGGCATATCCCCCACTCAACCATTACCATTGCCAGGAGCAGCACCAGGCATACCTGAAAGTGAGGTGTCAACCTGGTGAAGCCACCAAACAGGACTACTTGCACACCAAACAGCAAGTCATAGACAGAGCTAAGCGATCCCACAACCAACGGATCAGATCTAAGCTCTGCAGTCCTGCCACATCCAGTCATGAATGGTGGTGGACGATTAAACAACTCACTGGAAGAGGAGGTGGCTCCATATATATCCCCATCCTCAACTCACAGCCGGTCCTGCTCGTATACTACCCCTGTGATCACTGACCTGCATTGGGACCTGATAAATCCTTGATTAGATTGGCTGCAAGTTAACACATGAGCAGCTATGTTTTGAACAATCTCAACTTTAAGTGTAGAATGAGAGAGCAGGAGAGCACTGGAATATTTGAGAGTAGAGGCAACAAATGCATGAATGAGGATTTCAGTAAGACTGAGCTCGGACAGGGATAACGTTTGTTAGCTTAAACAATGGCACAATTATGAAGTCCAAAGCTTATCTCAGGATCAAAAGGTTGAGAAGAGACCAGTTCAATCTCAAACAAGGAAAGGAATGGAGTCAGTAGCTTGGTAAAGTAATGTGAAGCAGGGACCAAAAATAACAGTATCATTTTTCCCAATATTTAATGGGAGGAAGTTTCAGCACATCGAGCACTGACGTCAGATAAGCAGTCTCAAAAACTGCTAACTCTGAGACTCAGTGGAGGGGTGGTGGTGAGGCACTGATGGATAGTCCAAGCGAACTAACACTGTGCTTTCAGAGAGTGTCACTGTAGATAAGACATGGACATAGACCAGGATAGATCCCTTGGGGGACACAAAAACTGGTATGAGAGCAGGAAGAGCCAATATTGCAAGTGTTTACCTGGGGGGTTGGCAACAATTAGACAGAGAAGAACAGAAGCAGGTTGGCATTCTCCTGCCAGCTTGAGGGCATCAGAGAGATGCTGGCAGGGTCAACTGTGTCTAAGGCTGCAGATAGGTTGAGAAGGATGAGGAAGGACAGTTTACTATTGTCGCAGTTGTAAAGGATGTCACTTGCATCTTCGGTAAGAGCTGTTTTAGTGCTGTGGCAGGGACAGAAATCTAATTGCAGGCATTGAAACATAGAGTACTGAGAAAACAAACTGGTTTTGGGTTGTGAGGACACAGACTCGGTACTGGAGGTTGCAGATGGCGTCGTTATTTGCAATGCCAGTGGGGGTCAAGCACAGGCTTTCCATGAAGTAGGATGATGACAGTAGAAGGGAAACAAAAACAGAAGACAGTGGCAATAGTGACTAACACAGGGGCCAGGAGTGGAGGTTAGGCAGTCAGCAGTTTGGTGGGAATGGGACTGAGTGAAGAGATGGTGGATCTAGTGCAAAGTGAGCTCGGGAGGGCACACAATTATAGGTTCTACAGATCACCACACAACAGATACTCACTGGGCTGGTACTTGAGTGTGTATCCTTTCAGAATACCATTTGGATGAAGTGGAGGAGCCCACTGCAGGGTCAGAGAGTTGAGTGTTGGACTTGTAATCTTCAAGAATTCTGGAGAGCTGGGCACTGGTGAAAAATATTTGCACACGTTAGTACGTATCAAATCAGAAATCTGTATTTTGTTACAATTCAGGAAGAGCAAGTGTACACAAAAGTTTATATTGCTCCAACTATTTATGCAATGCTGACAGAAAGGGTTGGTTTAGGAAATGGCCAGTCAGTCAATAAAAACCCACCCCTCTAGCACACAGTAAGACTTGCATTTCTTCACCACATAATCATCCTGATGTATTTAAGAATGCAAAAACTGCTCTTCCAATTACACTTTAAAAAGCTTCACTCTGTCTAGGTAGCTGAAATGGCACTTCACCCACCACTAACGCACTGTGGCAACAGAGGGTGCACCATCTATACTATGTACCTCACTAACTTACCAAGCCCCTTCAAAAGTACCTTCCAAACCTACTAGCTTTACCAGTCAGAAGGACAAGGGCAGCAGAGAGGCAGTGAATTAGAGCACTGGTGTAACTAAGGGACAGAAGTTAGGGGGAAGCACTCATTCTTGGCTGCATTGAATAGAGTCCCAATGACTATGCTGCCTTCCCAGTGCCAGGTAAGGACATCTTCCCAGGGGAGGTGAGGAGCTACACTTTGAATAGGGCACTGAGAATCCCGTTATTGTTCGTCAATGGGTTCCAATGACACAGGGAGAACTAAGACAGACCTTCGGCCATTATGCTGTCAGCTAAGGGCTAAATTTAACAAAACAGAACTGCAAAGGTAACGATCTCTGATTTACTACCGGAACCAGGTACAAATTGGTACAGTTGAATACAAGCTTAGGAGATTGGTATGGGAGAAGTGGGTTTCGATACATAGGGCACTGGCACCAATAGATCTCAGAGGCCGCTAAGGCAAGAGTATTGGTGGGGAGTGTTTACCCATCTCAAGGAGGGAAGACGCAGGGTTTTGAAGTATCAGCAGGTAGGATGGAAGAGGAGGTACTATCTTTGTGGGGGTGCCCCACTAGGTGAACGTTATATTCCAAGATCCTACCTCTCCTTCCTTCCTGCTTTTTTGAATGAACTTTAAAAATAGTCGCCCAAACCCACCAAGCTGTCCATGCCAACCATTTTATGCCATGGGCAAGGAAATAGTGACCCATAATTATTTCCATCGAAAGAGTGGGCTGCCGATTTCAGCAAATGCACATGTTGCGATGGTGAGCTCAAGGATAGGTGGGAAAGTGGTGGGCTACAGCCATCTAACCTCTACTATCTACCACCCCTGATGAAAACACATGGAGGCATGTCATATCCAGCCCACAGCATCAGTTTGGAAACAGACAAGAAATCACAAGAAAGGAGTGACTGGTGACAGTAGTCAATAGACCCTCTAGCAGTATCGACATTGTAGGATAGATTGTAGATTAGAAATTAAAGATGGGGGCAGGGTTGTAAAATAGAAAACACCGGGCAATTTTAATCTTCATTTAGATTGCACAGATTAGATTCACAAAAGTAGCTGAGAGAATGAGGTCATTGTATTCCTTGAAGAAACTTTCTTAAAAACACAGTCAGTGAAGGAACAATTTCAGACATGGTAATGTCTCACCAGAGGATAAATTGTAAATGTTGAGGGGAGGAATGGGTGTCTGAAAGATGTGAAATCAGAGTTGGCGAAAGTGGACTGGCAAACAAGTTAAGATTGCGAGAAGAAACAGTGATAATTATTACGAAGCTATTCCCTCACTCTCACCAAATGTATATTCCTTTGAGGAAGAAAGGCTCTAGGAGAAGAATGCACCATCTATGGATGACTAAAGTGGTTCAGAATCGCATCAGATTGAAAGAAAAATGTAGATAGTGCTATGAAGATTAGTGGTAGCCTAGATGATTGGGAATACATTAAAAACCACAACAAATCACAAAGAAAAAAAAGGGAAAAGATAAAAGATAATTTTCAATAAATATCAATAAATATGAAAACAGACAGTAAAAGCTTCTTAGGCATACATAAGAAAGAAACACAAATAAAGGAAAAGAACTGTTAGACCGAGCATTGTTCACTTAAAAAGCGAGACTATGGAATTAATAATGGAAACAAGGAAATGGCAGAAATTTTGAGTAGGTATTTTGTATCCACCTTCATCTTGGAAGAAACACAAAGCATCCCAAGAGCAATAGAAAAGCAGGGGACAAAATGGATGGAGGAACGTAAAACAATCATAACCACTCCTGGAATAACTAATGGAAATAAAGACTGACAGGTCCCTTGGACCAGATGGCCTGCACCTCAGAGTCTGAAAAGAAGTGGCTGCAGAGGTAATGGATACATTGGCTGTAATCTTCCAAAATTCCCAAAATTCTGGAAATACCCCAACAGATTGGAAAGCCACAAAAGTGGTGCTATTTTTATGATCTTATAATGCTATGGTTACCATCAACCTTTCAGGGACAATTAGAGATAGGCATTAAATGCTAGCTTTGCAAGCGCTGTCCACAGCCCATAAACTTACATTCAGTGGTAACATTAATTTATTAGTTTTCTTGGTGTTGGCTGAAGGGAATTTAGCAATAGAAATGCAATTGGATGTCAAAGACCAATGGGAAATCGTTCAATTCTATCTTTTGGGTGATCGTCATTGCCTGGATTTTGTGTGGTTCAAATGTTGCGTGTAGTTCTCAGCCCAGCCCTGCAGGTTGCCCAGATCTTGCTGCATATGGATGCGGGCATTTCAGGATCTCAGATATCTGTAGAAAAAGCAATTCAATCATGGAAGAAATGCAATTACATTTCTTACCTCCTTCAGGAGTTTTCAGCACCACATCTTCACTTGCAGGTCCTTCTCCTTTCCCATTAAGGACTCGAACATTTAGCTTATAAACACTGAAAGGTTCTAACCCTGGCAACATGCCGTGGCTCTTGTCTCCCGGGAAGTTCAAAATCTTTACTTCTGTGTGACCTTTGCCCTGCCTGATCAGGCTTCCTTGCTTCCAGTAATAGATCTGCATGTGAAAAATACATCAGAGAAATTGAGAAGAACGGTTGCATTGGTATAATAGCTTTCCCGAGTTTGAGATTTCCTCCAGCACTTTGTTATCAACAAATTACTTTGGAAATGCTCACTGCTTTTGCAAAGAAAGTCATAACGACCACGATATGTATAACAAGATGCCAAGATAAAATCACCAGTTAGCTATTTTGAACGGTGTCGGCCGAAGGAGCAATGTTGTCCAGGAGAATTTGCTGCTCCTTCTGAAAATCATAAGACAGTGTCTTCACCTAAAATTAACAGATAGGGCCCTAGTTTCACGTCACATCTTCAAGCTCAAGCAATGGATCTTGCTGCATGCATAAACAATCACAAAGTGTACAAACATCCTGACAAGCAATCCAACATCCTATCAGTTTTCCACCCATGAAAACGACTGTTTGCTGGTTCTGGATCATTGGCTACACTTCACTATCTCTTCTCAGGTGACTCAAGGCCGGTGCGAGAAGTCTTGGCCTCTGCCTATCTCCATCCAATGTCGACGTGGGTGCACATGCAACAAGGATGAAGAGTAAACGATCAGCAGTAAGATCCATCACATTGCCGAGCAACAGGCACCTTCTCCTTTTCGTTATGCTTGCTTTGTTTAATTCCATCACCGAACCCCCCCACCCCCACCCCCAACTGTTATTCCAGTGGAAGCATTTACACCTGTGCATTTGCATCATTCTGACCTGCACTCACTTTGTATACAGCACCATCACTCGTCAACCAATCACTCCTCTCCCCTTATCCCTCTGAAATAACGCCACTAAAGGTTGTTACTCCATCAATAAGTCACCCCTTATTTACACGTGCATAGTACATGACACTGACCCAGCTAGCTGTTAGAGTGAGTGAACAGAACCCCTGATACTCCTGTTCCTCTCTATCAGCCAGGACTCCCTGTCCTGGACCAGGTTAACAGCCCCAATTGGGGAACTCAATTCTATGAGATCCACCTGGATGACCTTGTTCCAATCACTACACCCTCTTCCTTTCCATTTCTGCGACCCAGTTGCTTTCAAGATAGTCGTCTCTCAACACTTTTCAGTTTGGACTTGGCTTTTCTCACTGAGGAGTTGGAAATTGTGAACAGTCAGCAGGAAGTAACCTTGCTGAGAGCTCATTTCATCATCCACTTACGTTATATCCCTTGAGGAATCCACGGACACTTTTCGGTGGAACTGGGTTCCAGTGCACCTTCGCGAGAGTGCTGTTGACAACATGGACAGTCACATTGCTAGGAGCCAACATTGGCACTGGAAATGGAACAGAGACAAGTGATTTCCCAATCACTCATCATTTCAATACAACAACATGCAGCTCCACATAAATAGCAAACAAATTAATGTCAAAAACATTTCTCACAAACAAGGACACGTTTTGGTTTCATTTCCTGTTGATCTTCCCCTATCATCACTCACTGCTCGAGAAGAAAGAACAGAACACGAATAGATTCATTACTCATTATGGGCTGATGAGTAGGACCATACTAAGCCAGGAGATAGCAGAATTAAATCATAATGTTGCTATGGTTAACACAGACTATCTATAGACGAGGCCACAAAACGTCCCTTTGGAATTGATGGTAAAAAAATGGCATTCTGAAGCATATTGCCTTGGGACTCAGTTTTCTTTGGCATTTATATCAGCTGTGAATTAATTCATTGGAAAGAAGACAGCAAAGGTGACTGCTGTTTTGTCTGACATGAGAGCAAGAATCCACTATAATGGTATAAAAAAAAACGAAAGAACTGCAAGTGCTGTAAATCAGGAACAAAAACAAAGTTGCTGGAAAAGCTCAGCAGGTCTGGCAGCATCTGTGGAGGAGAAAACAGAGTTAACGTTTCGGGTCCGGTGACCCTTCCTCAGACCTCATGGTAAAAAAATTCAGGAAGTGAGGTGGTGGCTAAATTATAACGGTTAATTGGCTACTATTCGAGACACCCGGAGTCAAACTGGTTCAAATCTTGTCATCTACTGCGATTTAAATTCAACAAATCAAATGTGAAATCGAAAGCCAGTATCCGTAACAGTGGCCGCAAAACTGTCACCAATTGTTTTAAAAAGCCATCAGGTTCATTAATGTCCTTTAAGGGATGACCTTGACCCTGTCTTTACTGTATCTGGTGTACCCCAGACCCACAATGTTGTTGACTCTGAACTGTCCTTTGAGGATTTTGCTAGACCGTTTCAATCTAAGGTAAAGCAATAATACCCAACAAATACTGGTCATGCAGTGTCGGCCATAGTTAACAAGAGAATAAAGGAAAACATAAAAGAAGAAAATTCATCCTGACATTTCCAATCCTGTCCAAAAATTGTGCTGCATGAAACTCTTTTTTTTTGATCATTCTGAGGTGGTTATCACTTCAGACTTCTGAATTTTCTCCTCGTGTAGAAAATAGTCCATGCTTTTATTTTTCTTACCAAAGTGCATGACCTCACACTTTCTCACTTTGTGCTCCATCTGCCACTTCTTTGCCCATTCTCCTAACCTGTCCGAGTCCTTCTGCAGCCTCCCCACCCCCTCAATACTACCTGTCCCTCCACCTATCTTTGTATCGTCTGCAAACTTAGCCAGAATGCCCACAGTTCCTTCATCTAGATCATTAATGTACAAAGTGAAAAGCTGTTGTCCCAGCACTGACCTTTGTGGAACACCACTTGTTATCGGCTGCCATCCTGAGAAAGACCCCTTTATCCCCAATCTCCGCTTCCTGCCAGACAACCAATCTTCTATTCATGCTAGCACCTTGCCTCTAACACCATGGGCTCTTATCTTACTCAGCAGCCCTTTCCAGCAGTGAGATAGATAGTGGTTGAGAGCAGGAAGCCCTTCCAGCTATTCCTCCTCATTAGCCCAAGGGTTCCGAGGCAAACTTTAGCTCTGCACCCATTGCCTCGTCTACAGCCAGGCAAACTCAACATTAACGGAGAATCCATTAACGGAGACTTTCAACTCTTTCAGAGATATGATGATGTGTGCCTTTAAAGGAGATTTGTCCTGTTTCTCTTGAAGAGCTGTGTTATAAACCTGGTGTTTGCTCCACAGAAAGCAGAGTAAATATCTTCGGGGTTTTTCTGTAAATTAGGAAAAAAAAAGAAGCATGAACGGTTGGAGTCAGGCTCACACAAACCCGGAGGAGTTTTGCTTTCATTTGTTGAAGATGAGGATTTGGAGTTGAAGCTGCGAGATGCAGCTCTCTCTCTGCTGCTGCAAAAAGCTTGCGTTCTCTCTCTGCTGTGAGATTTAATCTGTCAGTGTTCCTTTTTCCTGGACTGGAGACAGCAAATGAGGGAAATCCATTTTGCTGAATTTACCTTTGCCAAGGGTGTTTTTATAAGATGCTGCTATATTGGAACAGTTGATGAGTAGTCGTTCAATATATTATTTCATTAAATATTTCAAAAGAGTTAAAGTTTTGCCAATTTTTTTTAAAATTTGTATTTTAACTGTGGTGTAAGAATAAAGTGTGTCTTGCTTAAAGCCTAGTAGTTTGACCAACTGAATCACATCTGGAATGCAGCACCTTCTGCTTGCTTTTAAGTAAGATGAAAGTTAAGGTCTAGGCTATCTCCTTGATATGTTTTGAGGGGGTTTAGTCTAGTCCATAACAGAGAACTCTAGTCCATAACAGAGAACAATGGACACATTCTCAACCCATGGAACCACTGGAAGTTGAGCTGTTTGACCAGTGAATCTATTTATGGCTGGAAGAGTCAGATATTTGGTTTCTCAAGAAATTAGGGATATGGGAAATGGACAGCAAAAGTGCAGTATAAGCCCAAGATCTGCCACAATCGCATTAAATGGCAGCACAGGCTCAATCGGCCAAATGGTCCATACCACTCCTAATGCCCGTGTCCTTTTGGGACAATGCGCTCTCACCCATCAGATCGCCATTTTGAGCTGTGAATTTGCTTTTGTGATGCTTGAAGGAAGCCTTTCCATCAAGCAAAGGACTGCTGAGAAATGAGGCAATCAAGTAATGAGACCAACACTAATGAAAACAACACAGTTACTTACAATCCTCGCCAGAGTATCCGATTACAATTTCAGGCTCCGGGGCAGCTCCAAGGCTGTTGAACGACTGCACTTTCAACTCATACGGAGAAAATTCCGGCGTGCCTGATACAATGTATTTTGAAACGTTGGCGACCATCACAGATGTCCACTCGTCATCGCCGACCTTCTGTCTCCAGCTGACCTTGTATGTTAGGCCTGGCCCATTGGACTGGACACCTTTCAAAGGCTAATGAGAAACAGCAACAAATGTCCATTCATTTATCAACAGAACTGGTCCGAGACAACAGGGAACAATTTGCTGCATCACGTAGTCAATACTGACAATTTTTTAAAAAATTTATTCACGAGACTTGGATGTCTCTAGCTAGGCCAACATTCACTGTCCATCCGTAATTGCCCAGAGGGCAGTTAAGAGTCAAGTCTGGCATCACATGTAGGCCAGACCAGGTAAGGATGGCAGTTTCCTTCCCTTAAAGGACATTAGTGACCCAGACAGGTTTTTCTGACAACCGTGGTCATTATTAGACTCTTAACTCCAGATTTTTATTAGTTTCAAATTCCACCATCTGCCATGGTGGGATTTGAACCCAGGTGCCCAGAACATGACCTGGGTCTCTGGATTAACAGTCCGCTGATAATATCACTAGGCCATCGCCTCTCCTTCAAGATTCTACAAGTCAGATGTGTTTTCTGATGGAGCCCAGATCACCTTGTGCTTAAGATAGGTAGCAAGCTAGTGTTAATCAGGAGCCAGTGTGGCTTATTGGATTAATGGTGACCATTTACGATTTTCTCTCCCATGCTGCCCCACCAACTCACAAGTGGGTGAAGTTTTTATTGGGTTGCTTATCTCTCCCTGGAGTGAAGAATGTGTGTGCGTGTCCCTGTGTGTATGCGGCATGTGTGTGCGTGCATGCGCCTGTGTGTATGCGCACACGCGCGTGTATACATGTTCATAAAATAACTGGCTTGGAGGGCTAGGACAAAATGTTTCACCTCAACATTTCAAAGATTCACACACATTTACTTCAATTCGTAGAATTTTACAGGACAGAAGGAAGCCATTCGACCCATCGTGTCTGTCCTGGCTCCTGAAAGAGCTACCCAGCTAGTCCCACTCTCCAGCCCTCTAAATTCATCACTTCCAAATATGTATCCACCTGTCTCTTGAAGCCTCCTATGGAATCCACCTCCACCATTCTCCCAGGCAGCGCATTCCAAATCCTAACAACTCTCCAAGTAAACAAGTTTCTCATGTCACTCCTAGCTCTCTTGCTGATGTTGAAGTTGTGACCCCGAATTAGATAGAATCCCTACAGTGTGGAAACAGGCCATTTGGCCCAACAAGTCTGCACCGACTTTCTGAAGAGCATCCCACCCAGACTCAACTCCCTACCCTATCCCTGTAACCCTGCATTTCCCACAGCTAAGCCACCCAGCCCGCACATCCCTGAACACACAATGAGCAATTTCCCATGGCCAATCCATCTAGCCTACACATCTTTGGACTACGGGAGGAAACCCACGCAGATACAGGGAGAACGTGCAAACTCCACACAGACAGTCGCCCAAGGCTGGAATTGAACCCAGGCCCCTGGCACTGTGAGGCAGCAGTGCTAACCACTGAATCACTGTGCCGTCCGAAACTGCTCTAGTTATCTGTATAAAATGTGTGGGAAACCTCTATTAGTATAGTCACTGGGACAAGCTCAAAATGTCCTTTCTGAGGAACCAATATCAATTAAGCCGCACATTCTGATCCAGTCAGACGTACAGGTAAGTCCACCAGAGAAAACAGTTTGCTTACCTTCCAGGTTATCACCAGATTATTGGGTTCTGTTCCCATCCCTTGGACCCCTATGGGGTTTTCATCCGGAGCTACAAGAAACAAAGCAAGTTACTGAATCGCACAAAAGCGTAGGTAGAGAAAGCACCATTTCATTTACCCAACTCCTGCCTGGCAATATATCTGGCAAAGTCACTAACTATCACTCGTGTTTGGCTTTACGTCTTGTAGATGGAGGGAAGAACCAGTATTTTCATGCAAGCTGTGGTTGCAAATGCCAGTGTGGACTAGTCAACTAGGGAGGGCAGAAATGACGTGGATGTTTCGCAGCTGAGCAGCATGTGCCCTCAGAAACTTACAGCCAGAGTTACTGAAGACGGATGTGTAACAAGAAGCTGGGCCAATTTGCCAGTCCCTTCCTCAAAGGGATGCTCAGTTTAGTCATAGCGCCAGCCGCTGAGGGTAGTTAAGTCTACACTTACTGGGGATCGAATCTATGTCCATGCATGCTGTGTGAAGCTCAGCTAACTGCTGAATGCAGGGGCATGCAGCTCATTAAAAATCGAACTTGCTCATCTTGTAATGTCTTACAGTAGAATAGTTAACCAGGGGATAAAGTCAAAATACACAATGAGTCCCCTGATTGTTTCACACGAAACACCGGATGATATCCAATGATTGGACAAGAACAATAAAGTACTGGCCAATCTGCAATGCTGACAGGAACACTCGTGTCTGGGCGATCTCAGGCTGACAGCCCCCGCTCTGACCTGTGACATGAACAACCAAGAACAAACAAGACAATGGGTTCACAGAAACACTGCCACCTACAATGTCACTTCCAAGCCACCCCACCATTCCGACTTCAAACAATACCACCATTCCTTCATGGTTACTGGGTCAAAATCCTGGATCTCTACTGGAATAGTTGTAGTTCAGTGGCAGCCATTATTTTTGACATCATGAGCCTGTGAGATCCGCCCTCTTTCCATCATCCAAGGGCCACACCCATGTGGACGCAGCTCATTCGGCTGGCTCTACAGTCCCATTCAGAAAGGAGGTACTGAGGCTTACTGAGTCTCCATTCTGAATGCAAGCATGCCCCGCACATTGTAAAGCAGCGCAAGATCTGAAGATCCTTCCATTTTATGACCCAGTCACGACATAGGTTCAGTTCATTCTCTCTGTGGGGGCTACCAGATTAAATAGCATGGAGTGACTTTGACCCTGAGAAGGTCAGTCCTCTGATTGGTGAGAGCTCAGTGACGCCATTTCCCCTCCTACACTCCATCAGAAGAGCAGTCTTTCCAGAAGCCTAGCTTGCTCTAAGCTGCTAGCTCGGAGGAATCCCTGCCCATTGCTGGTTCAATCTCCAAGCTCTCTGGTCCATGAGATAGAGTCAGTTCCCAAGGGCATCCAATGTTACGTTCACTGCTCTGTGAGCCCACTGATACCCTGATGCACAGTAGTGAGGCCCTGGCCAAAAGACGGAGTTAACAGTGATAACACCAGGAACGAGGCTGCAGGAAGGCAATTCAACATTACTCTTACTGTTCAACCCGAAAGAATCATCGCAGGTTATACCCTGGAGTTTCAATTCAGTGCCAGGAGGGCACCGGTGAGCCAGCAAAAGGTGGGCATTTCCCGCACCAGCCTATTAGAAAGATCAAGGGCTTAGTTTGGACGAGTACTGCTCTGGAAGATCAAGGGAAGCAAGTTGGGATGACCAACAAACAGGGCATCACCACTGAAACAAGAGAGTACGGCAAGGAAGTGACAGAAAGTCAGAGTTGGAAGGCCACAAGTAACAGGGAATCAGAGGACAGGGAATTCTTTCACTTATTTCCAAGACCAAAAGTGTAGACCAAGAACCTCCAACTTCAAACTACTGCCTTTTGAGACTTGCATTACTGTTTAAGGCTGTGTCTATTGCTCATGTTACTGCGAGGTGGCGCACGTCATTGCCTGAAACAAAGATGGCACTGGTCACAAGCCAGGCATAGTCAAAACTCCTGAGCTTCCTGAAACTAACTCTTCGGATTGTCATCACAGGATGGCAGGAAAGGGCGCCCCTAACGTTCCGACATAAGCTGCGGATTTATACGGAGAAGACGTGCAATCAAATCAAAAACCATGGGGAAGGAAGAAACAGGAGGGGAGAGTGTGGTCAGAGATATAGACAGGGTGAGTCTGGTCTTGGTTATCCAGGACATGCGCAAACGAGTGTCTTATTCATCTGCACATGCACCAATAACGTCATCCATCCATGCAGAGAGGTCTCCCAGCAGACAGAGCTCTGTCGTGGCTGGGTGACGTCACCTCTGCTGGGCAGACACCAGTGACCATCTTTGAGAACATAGAACATAAGGGCTAGGAGCCTGCTCCACCATTCAATAAGATCATGGCTGATCTTTTCGTGGACTCAGATCCACTTACCCGCGTTCTCACCGTATCCCTTAATTCCTTTATTGTTCAAAAAAATATCTACCTTATCTTTAAAAACGTTTACTGAAGTAGCGTCAACTACTCCACTGGGCAAGGAATTCCACAGATTAACAACCCTCTGGGTGAAGAAGTTCCTTCTCAATTCAGTCCTACATCTGCTCCCTCTAATCTTGAGGCTATGCCCTCTTGTCCTAGCTTCACCTGCCAATGGAAACATCCTCTCTACTTCTATCTTAGCTATTCCCTTCATAATTTTATATGTTTCTATAAGATCCCCCCTCAATCTTCTGAATTCCAATGAATATAATCCCAATCTACTCAGTACTACACTTTGGCACCGTCGCCCTTTCGAGGCTGCATCTTACCAGCTGGCTGTGTGAAATATCGCTCCGATGGATAACTCGGATTGCTCCTGCCTACTCGGTTGACAGCAATGACCCGGAATTTGTAGTTGACAAAGGGGGAAAGCTTCAGGTGGGCCGTCGTATGCTTTCCTCCGACATCGGTCAAATGATGCCACAATCCAGGCTCATACTGATCCTCTTCATACTCAATACTGAACTCTGAGATAACAAACAGTATTAATCACAATAGTGCATGGACTTCACTTGCTGTTGAGACCACTTGGTCTTCAATAAATGCTCAGAAGCATTTCTTAAACTCCACCTTACAGTTTAGCTTCAAGATTAACATAGATCACTTCACCCCATCCCATCACCCCCCAGCGTGAACTCAACTTGAACTGGACAATTTGGACACATCCTTCAAACGTCCCACACCCACTGAGGGTCAGTGTGGACTTGTTGGGCCAAAGGGCCTGTTTCCACACTGTAGGAAAAATAAAAAATAGAATATCAACAGCCCAGTCTATTATCACTGCAGAGTTCTCTCCCCCCAGAACAAGCTGGGAAAGTGGCCAGCCCCATACCATGAGGCTAAATGTAAAATGATCCAGGATTAGAAACCTGTTTTCTTCAGGATTACGTAGGATACACGCACAGAAACAATTAATCTGGCCCAACCAGCATATTCAGCCTCCTTCCATCGTTTCTAATCTAAATCACATTATGTCTCCCTGTTGTCTTCTCCCTCATGTGCTCATTTTCAGCAAACACCTCAATAGACTCGTGGTCCAGAGATTTCTGGGTGGATGGATCAATGGTAACGGCATATTTTTAAGACAAGGGACAGGAGATTTAAAGGGATGTCAGGAAGGGTTTGTTCACCCAGAGGGTGCTGGGAATCAGGAGCTCATGGCCTGTAAGAGTAGTAGAGGCAGAAACCCTCAGAACTATTTAGATGTGCAATTGCCACGCCAAGGTCAACATGGCTGTGGGCCAAGGGCTGGGATTAGAATTGTTAGGCGGTTGTTTTTTTACTGGGGCAGACTAAATGAGCTGAAGGGCCTTGTTGTGGGCTACGGACCTAGAACACTATTCACCTCAACTATTTTCACCATTTTCCAGGTGAAGAATTTACGGAATTTCCTTTTGGATTGCTTGGTGACCATTATTTAGTATTTAGGGCATTGAGTGATGCTCCTTTCAATGTGTACTTGGTCAAAACCTCACTTCCCCATACCCTACCTCTATGAACGAAGGACCCCAAACTGCAGAGCAGCGACAGTATACCCTGGCACAGCAGTTAGAATCATAGAATCCTCACAGGAAACAGGCCATTCAGCCCATCAAGTCCACTCAATCCTCCAAAGATCATCCCACCCAGGTCCAGCCCCCCTACCGTTTCCCTGTAATCCTGCATTTCCCATGGCTAATCCAGCCAATCTACGCATCTCTGGACCCTATGGGCAATTTAGCATGGCCAATCCACCTACTCTGCATATCTCTAGACTGTGGGAGGAAACCACAGAGCACCCAGAGGAAGCTCACACAGACATGGGGAGAACATGCAAACTCCACACAGACAGTCGCCCGAGGGTGGAATTGAACCCAGGGCCCTGGTGCTGTGAAGCAGCAGTGCTAACCACTGAGCCACCGTGTCGTCCAAAATTCAAGGCAATAAGGCCGCATTAATGTAATTACAAATCTTTTGAGTAAAGAAGGCAAGTGTTAATTGAGAGAATTAAAACAATAATCAGAGTAGTTGGTTTGGATTGAGAGAAACCATCTTCTCTGGCGGGGATGACTGGAACAAGGGTATTTGACCTAGAAATTTGAGTTAGGTCATTCAGATGATAGCAGGGAACATTTTCCCCAGGCAAAGCCTTATAGCAATTTGGCACCGACTCCACCGAAAAGCCAAAAATGCTGGGGGTTAGTAACTGAAGCATCCAATTTGACATTGCTAGCTAAAAACATAAAGCAAAGACACCCAATCGAGTCGAGTAAACAGATGTGTGGTTGGTCTGCTTGGAGGTTCCTCAGAATTGGAGGTCTAGCACACGTACTTGTGATGGGACTGTTATTGTCATCTCCTGGTATCCAGGATAGCTGCACACTCCTGTCTCGAGGGTTGGTTAATTCCAGGTCCGAAGGTGGATCAGGACTGTCTATGGAATGAAAACATGAAATTAAAACCAGAAAGGCCGTGACAGAGCCAAACATATCAGAAACTAGACGGATGTGTGCAGAAATGTAGGGTGGTGTGGCTGCATGCACAGGGGCCTGTTGCGTACCCAGCAGGTAGATGGAGAAAATGTTTGGTCTGCCTCAGCAGCAACCATTGAGTTCAATAAGGCTTCAGCAAAAACAGCTACATGCAAATACATGGCAGACTAAAACAACCTGCACGCATAACTGGACTTTACAGTCCACTGCCTTTCTTCAAACTGAAGCTCTAAATTACTTGCTGCTGAAAGCTCTTCAGAAAGATTGTTAATCCTGAATTTGAGAGAGGCAGAAATCTAAGGCATACAAAACAGGAAAGGCCGGGGGTTGGGAACAAACTTAACCCTTCTGCAGTACCCGACAGTCTCTGATCAGACTGAGTTTAAAGGATTGCAGCATTTCTGCTTTCTCTACAATAACTGGATGTTCAGTCCATGTAATTATCACTCTTTGGAGTGCAAATAAACTTTCCAATATCTGACCTAAATGCAATACGCTGGACTTTGAAAATAGCATCATTTAGTCTGGAGATCTGCTCTTATCAGAAACCAGTATATGTTAAACCAAAAAGTATTGAAAAGCCTTGGAGGGAATGCAAATGAGTTTTACTTGAATGGCATGAGGAATGAGGGCCTTTCTTTCTGTGGATTGATTAGAGAGAGCGATTGTTCTCATTACAGAAAGGGGCAATTACATGGTGGTTTCATGAAGGAATTCAACATTACGAAGGGAAAATAGAAAATGTTTCCAATGACAAGAGGGTCAACAACCGGAGGACACACATTTAAAGGTACTTGCAAAAAAAAAGTCAGAGAGGAAATGAGGGACAGTTCTGCCAATGCAGCTGGCTATTCTGGTCTATCCCAGATCTATACCGTCCCAGGCCGCATGGCCTGACAGGATGCAGATTTTTGAAAAGGAATCGGATGCGTTGTCAAGAAAGGAAAATGTTTCAGATCCATGGGGAAACGAGTGGGACTAATTTGAAAGCTCTATCGAACTGTCAGGGCAGGGGTGATGGGCGGAATGGTCTCCTTTTGTCCCACAAATTTCCGTGGCGAGGATCTTCAAAGTTTCTCTCGGCTCACAGAAATCCTACATAACTGCCTAACGATTTATCGGGCGAGGGTTCGCTGCTTTCAGTTTAATAAATAGGGCTTAAATGAACCCAAGTAGCCCTGCAGCCTGCAGCCAGGGTCTAGGCAGGTTCAAAGTGAAGCAACCCTGTGATTGGGATTCCCACAGCACTCGAGGCTGGACACCCTCAAAGAATTCAAGGCATTTGCTCAGGCAGGATTGTCCTCTTTGAACACATGCTGTCTATTGAGAAGTAGATAAGTCTTGTACATATGGGATTTATTTTTGCACAGAATGGGGAGAAATTTTCTGGTGTTTCTTCAATGTTCAGTTATTCCTCAAAATGATGTCTTCACAATTCTCCTCCCTGCTCATAACACTCTGGAATCAGTCTATTCCTGGTGACATATTTGATTAAATCCAGTGGAGTTTCTTGACACAATACCTGAAGAAGAAGTGTGGTCACTACTTTAATCACAGAAAATGTGATCGCCCAATTGGCACACAGCAAAAGGTCCCTGAAGCAGCTGTGTGCTAATAAACAGATTGCCTGTATTAATGGTGTTGGTCAAGGGATAAGTGCTGCACTTTTGCACAAATAGTGCCATGAGATCTTTCATATCCACTTGCCAGGACAGATGGGACCTCTACTTAACGTCTCTGTACCTTTAGTAGAGCAACATTCCTTCACTACTGAAATATAGATGCAGCTAAGGTGATCTGCTTTGGTTTCTGAAGTGAGATTTGAACCTGACTCAGTGAGAGCTCCACCACTGAATTAAGGGTGAAGATTAAGCAGATATGAACTAAGTGGGCATCCTTCTTAAAATTCATATTTTTGTCAAGTTGTAGAGAGCATTTACTTGAACAAAAGATGCTTTGAAGGCCAATATTAGCAATACAAGCATCTTCAGGAGGGGACTAATGGTAACAAAAGAGATACTTTAGCAGCAGGAATTCATGTGCATGCAGTAACAGCAAGGATTTCAAATCTGCTCAATACAGAACTCCACACCATGTCATGGAAACTGTTTTGCAATAGTACTACGTCGCAAGACCAGATCTGTCTTAAATTTGGCAAATCATCCTGTTAACTTAGAGGGTCTCGTGTTACCGTTGGTGAATGAAAAAATGCAAGTGTAGCAAATAAGTAGATAAAGTGTTCCAAAAAAACTGAATACTCTTCAATGAGCTGCATTTGTGTGACCGAAAGATTGGAGCCAGTCAACACAGATGACTCAAACTCATGACATGTAATTTAGAGAAATGCACACAAACTCACACACATTCCAGACTCTCCTGCATACAATCTCAATCCACAAAAACACACACACACACACACACACACACACACACACACACGTCGTCAGAGGGGGAGTCATTCAGTCCATCATGTGAGCACCATGACTTAATAATACTTAACCTGCTTTGTCCCGTCCCCACCCCATAACACCTTAGACATTGTTTCTATTCAAATTACATCTGATGGCCTCTTGAATGTTTCAATTCAACCCGCCTCTACCACACTTCCAGGCAATGCATTCCAACCCTCAACCTCACGCGGTGTGGAAAAATTATTTTCTGACCTTGCATTTGATTCGTTTTGCGAATTATTTTAAATCTGTGTTTCCCCTTTGTCATTTGATACAAAACCAGTTTCTCCTTATCGAATTAATCCACGCCTGCCGAATCTCATTTTTGTCCTTCACCTCTCCAAGAGGAAGAACCCCATTTTCTCCTCATTGTCTTCGTCATTGAACTGTCTCTCATCCCTGGAATCATTTTTGTAAACCTTTTCTTCACGTCCTTCCCGAAACATGGTGCCCAGATTGAGTACGATATTCCAGCTGAGGACTAACTAGCATTCTTTACATGTTCAACACAGTCACCTTGCCTTGTACTCTGTGCGCCTACTAATAAAGCGGAGGATAATGCATGGCTTATTAACTGCTCTCTCCATCTGTCCTGCCACCTTTACTGTCTCCAGTCTCTCACACCAGAGAGACTTGGCAAATACTCACTGTCGCATTCCAGACACACACGTCAAACGCTCTGACTCTCCCGACAGATAAAGTCGACAGTTACAGATACTCCTGGGTTCTGATGTGGCTGTTGCATGTTTCCAACATGACAAGAATTCTGCTTCTTCAGTTGTTTTTAAACTTGCAACAGTGCAAGATTTAATCGTCAACACCAGATCTTTCACCCACTGCGTGCAAGTATGACTTTAAAGTATGCATACACGGAAATTACAGAATTCATCTCAGTCAAGAGCCAGAAAGGATGGAAACACATAGCAGACCCTGCAGCATCTGGAAGATTGGACACAGTTGTGATTTGGAAAGATGTCCTGCAAGAGAACAGCTTTCCTCACAGCTATCAATGAAGATGAATTACTAAGTGGAACCTCCATTACCAACCAGAATGGAGTGGACCTCAAATGGTGGACATTCTGACAAGCAACTGACTGCTTCCACATACAAGCAAAGCCTTGGGAATCATTCATAAAAATTATCCTTGTCGTCATGTGAGTGACCATCAAGCACGCAAAACACTAAGCTAGTCATGTGTCCCATATGGATTTTACAACCATTCTAATAATGGAGGTTCCACAGTTGGTGAAAACACAGAATCACCCAGGTGGTGAAGGAAGCACCAATAAAAAGGTCAATCTAGAGTTAACACAGAGCTACTTAAATGTATCTACCTCGGCTAACTGAAGGAAAACAAACCCCAAAGAAATAGGCGCAAGGTACACCAAATGATGGTGGCGACATGATGAATGAATGTTACAAGTAAAGGAGCAGTGTGGAGCTGTCTAAGCATCACCCTCCACAATGCTTCACCTCAAGTGGATAATGGAGAGATAAATGAAGCTGGTGAACATGCTGCATTATGGCTGGAAATAAAATTAAGAGAGCCAAGTCAAAACAAATGGAAGAGCAAAATGTGTTCAGACAAACACTTGTTAGTTTACCGTGTGGGCTAGCTGGAGTTGAGGAACGGGCTGGAAATAAAGAGCAAGGTCAGGGTTTAGTTGTAGCCAGCACAAGTTAAAACGGTCACATTTTTCTGCCAGTTTTATAAAAACAAAAGAAGAAATTGTGCATCAGCTTATTCGATCTCAGAAATGTCAGAGATAGCAAGAACTGCAAATGCTGGAGTCAGAGTCAACACAGTGTGGAGCTAGAGAAACACAGAAGTTCTGAAGAAGGGTCCCGACCCACAACGTCGACTTTCCTGTTCCTTCGATGCTGCCTGACCTGCTGTGTTCCTCCAGCTCCAACTGTGTTGACTCAGAAATATCACAATCATTTCCACACAATGCATTATTTAAAGCTGTAGTGATAGTTGTCATATCAATTATCAATCCCATTTTTGCGAACATCAAAGCTCTATAGGTAAACAAGATGCATGTCCAGTCTGGTTATTTCTTTGATGATTTTGGCTGAGCTATCTCTGTTGGTCAGGCCATCAAAGGGTAGCCATTTGGGTCTTTTTTATAATTCTTTAATGGGATGTGGCTGGCCCTGGTCTGGTCAGCTTTTGCTGCCCATTCTAAATTGCCCCTTGATCAGAGTAGCTTGCTATGGTCATTTTGGACTCAGTTAAAAGCCAACCACACTGCTGTGGGTCTGGAGTCACATGCAGGTCCGACCAGGTAAAGACAACACATTTTCTTCCTTCTGTCAAAGAAGCAGATGGATTTATTTTTAAAGCAACAATTGACAAATGTTATATGGTCAGCATTAGTCTCATTCTTAATTCCATTTTTTGTTTAATTCAAATTTCACCACCAATGGTATCTGAACCCATATCCCCAGATTAGCCTGGGCTTCTGAATAAGTAACACAGTGACACTGCCATGATGTCAATGCCTGACCATTTTCCGGAGTGAATTCTCTGGCAGTAACTCAGATGAAGCTCTGTATCTGATCATGGGGGACAGCACAAAATCTAAACAACACAGCCCTGACTGGCCCAAGAACCCTGTGAGGCGGTCTATCCAGCTTAACATATTTGGAAAGCAACTAAATGGCAGCACAAGTCAATAGAGTGACAACGATCACTGAAGGACACAGACTTAAAAAAATAAATAAACAAGGGCTCCGATAAAGGGGGTTTCAGGTTGGCGTGCAAAGTAAATTGAAGTTTGCCGATTTGGCAGGGAAGTTGCAGAGTCTCAGAGCTCTCGGTATAACTGAGACACCAGTAAGGCATGTTGTTGGGGAGGTAGGGGATTACAAGGGGAAGGGGAGTTACAAGCGAGGAGGGCAAGGGGCTTTGGTGGCAGATTATTTTCATAGGCCCCACAGCAAGGAACACTGAGTCGGCTCTGACCAGTCCAGAACCCAATTTCCACATTCAAAGACATGTCATCTGAAAGAGAAGCAGATTAGTAACTGGGACTGATCTCGAAGCAGCTTCCCTGCCACTTGTGAGGCTATCAGCTACTCCTATTCAGTAAAAGATAACATACGTTCAACATTGGCTGCTGCCATTCTATTCAATGGGCACCATGTGGCAAATTGTAGCTTTCCATTCGAGAGGCCAGATATTGAACTATTGAAGGAAAGTGGCCTTTCCCAGCAGGGTGTCGAGCTGGTTGTCAAGTATGGTGGGGGTAAGGGAGATCATTTTTTTGGTCAGCAGCTGCAGGAGGGAGTTGGTATTCATCTCCCTGAGGCAGTGACTCTCAGGGCGCTGTACTCTTCCCTCCCAACCAGTTTGACATTGATGCTGACCTTAATACCTTTTGGATGTGTGTTGCCTGTATTACATGTTGACTGCAGCAGGGAGAGCCAATACACTCCCCCGTTTCGCAAAGCATCACCTCAGCAACGCCTTGCAAGAGGGTCAGCTTTTCAAGTGATGCTGGTGAGACAAGACACTCATACAAAGTAAAATGCCAAAGCCGTTTCATCATAGATTCTTTGCAGACTGGAGTGACAAAAGGAGAGAGAGAGAGGGAGAGAGAGAGAGAGAGCACACAAATAGAAGCCACATTACCTAGAACAGCAAGGTCAGCCGTTGCAGAGTTTGAGTCCAAGGTCGTATTCACCACACACGTGTAGGATCCCTGATCTTCCTCAGACACATTCAGAATGGTCAGGACATTGCCAGAGGCTTGGTGCCTGAAATCGAGACCATGTATTTGATACTAGCTTGACTGCTTCAATCATCACCGCTGCCTCAGCCTCTCATTCCAAGGGGGTGGGGCGGGGTGTCCGTTTCTGGTTCAGATTTGTGGTAATTCATCCAACGTGAATACTAATTCATGGGGGGGGGTGAGAAGAGGGGTGCTTCCCCACCACTCAACATGCATCAGAAAAAGAATCCTGCTAGGGAGAGGTGGTGAAGCCTCTTGAAGATAAGCTAACTGGGCTGTTCCCACATGGAAATACATGACCTGAGATAGGCATGACACCCAAGAGAATGGGTTTCCCATTGGCATCATGTTGCATTCATTGCAAAGACTTCTGACTACAAAGACAACACAAGGAACATGCCTGCTCTCCGTGTGTGGGCAAGGCCGGACTAGGGGCAATAAATATAAGACAGTCGGTGATAAATCCAATCAGGAATTCAGGAGAAACCTCTTTACACAGAAGGGCTAGTTGGAATACAGAGCGGGTGTGATACATCCTGCTTCCCCATTTTGTGGGGTTGGGGATCTCTGTGCAATTAGCAGTGGGGCTCACTCAAAAATTAAGTCAGTTTCACTTTACTCCACCCCATCACCATAACTTTCCACCCCTTTCTCCTTCATAAAAAAAAAACTAAATTTATTTCAAAAATACACTTTCTTCATCAAAACAAAATCTCTTTGTATATGTACATAGTCACAAACACAGTAAGCCCTGCATTTAGTTAGCTTGCCCCTAATTGCATCTATACTTGTGACCTCAGCCATTCCTTGCAGTAGCAAGCTCTAAGTTTCAACCACATTTTGTGTAAAGGGATTTATTGGTGATTGTTTTTAATATTTAGATTTGATCTCAGTGGTCATAATCACATGGCAAACGCTTCCATACTTTAACTTGTTTGTGTATTTAACAGTGAAGTGGTGAGGCTAAACCAGAATAAGAGTGTACTTTAAGATTGGAGGACAGGAGTTGCTAGAAACAAAAAGAAGGACAGTGGCACAGTGGTTAGCACTGCTGCCTCACAGATCCAGGAACCGAGGCTCGATTCCAGCCTCGGGCGACTGTCTGTGTGGAGATTGCATGTTCTTCTTGTGTCTGTGTGGGTTTCCTTCGGTTTCCTCCCGCAGTCCCAAGATGTGCAGGTTAGGTGGATTGGCCATGCTAAATTGTCTGTAATGTCCAGGGATGTGTAGGCTAGGTGGGTTGGGCATGGGAAATGCAGGGATACAGGGACAGCACTGGGGGCTGGGTTTGAGTGGAATACTCTTCAGAGGGTCAGTGTGGATTCGATGGGACAAGTGGCCTTATCCCACACTTTAGGGATTCTCCGATCCTTTGACTGAAGTCTTCTTTCCCGCTTCTACAATCTGGGCAGTGGCATAACCCAAATGATAATGAAATTGTTAACTAATCACATAATAGCGAAGCTTCATCAATTAATCTGGAACAGGCATAAGTTGATGAAAACCTCAATGGTGGAGGGCTTGGGTAACCACAGCTAAGTCTCAAATTACTCACACTTGTTCCCCAAAACGTTGTTGCCTGCTTTGCTTCCTTTGTAATTGAAAAATGGTTTATGTTAAGTGAATGTACCAAAATGAAATATGTTTGTGTGCGGAATGATTGTTGGGGGCTTTCTACTTCGTTCATCTGTGGCTGGTCATCAGAGTCGATTGGTCAATAAAGGTCAACGACTGCTCAATCAATCGGAAACTGATGAGCCCCCTTCCCTCTCTTCTGGGAAATATCACCATATGAGCTGCGTTAACACAATCAAGGCGTCCAGTACAGGGATCTACAGTACCTTTCGTCATCAGGCAGCTCCTCGTTGTTTTTCAGCCATATAATTGTCGGAGAAAGTGATGGGTCATGCTTCACTTTGCACTCAAACACAGCGGTTCCCATCATCTGCACAGACTGATATAGCGGCTGTTTCAGGATGGTCGTCGGATCTAAAAAAATTCAACATGTTCATGACAGTCGCTATGCTTTCAGAAACAAAACAAAGCTTATGAGAAAAGATAACCCAATAGCGCCACGGATCTCACCTTTGACCTGGAGAAAGGCTTTGTTTTGGACGACGCCAAGGGAATTGGTAGCGATGCAGGTGTACGTACCACTGTCATTCTTCTGCGAGAAGGAAATCTCCAAAGTGCCGTTGTCATGGAAAACGTAAGAGTCACCGTGGAGGACACTCCCTTGGTCATTCTTGAACCTGGGGTTGAACACAATTCAAGTAACGCCACTGGCAGCATGCACCTCTTCCCAGCCTCGGTCCAATTTCTCCCCACATCCTTTGTTTTGTTTCCCTCAGATTTGCCAAATACCAGAATTCCTCAGAACATTGTGCTTGTTTCTCTCAGCATTAAACAAACATTGACTCTTACTGCAAAGAAGGAGGCCATTCGATCCATTGCTTTCATACGCCGCCCTGGCTCCTGGCAACGAGCTATCAGATAAGGATCACTGCCCTTTCCCACAGCCCTGGAAATATTTTCTTTTTAGGTAGAGACTCAATTCCCTTTTGAACGTGGCCTATGATTTCAAGTAGTATATTCCTGAACGCAATATGCTGCGTTTTAAAAAAAAAAATTTATTAGGCCCGAATCTTGGAAAAACCTGAGTGATGCCCTTTTACAGCTCAAAATACATACCCGGGTCATTTGCGACATGACGAGGAATTTTCATGTCGTTACCCAGCAGTAAATTTTAACTGCATGCCACAATGGGAGTGTGTGAGGAGTGCAAGTGCCCAATAGACTACCACCTTGACTCTCCGACACAGCTCCCAATGCTACGTAAAGGCCCGCTAAACTTCACCCCTCCCATCAAACCAACTTTCCTGTCCCCTCACGTTCCTTCCAGGCCATCTTACATTCCCTTATGTCACCCTGGGCTCTTATGTATCCTCCAGTCATTCACCCATTGTGCGCAATGTATCATTCTCAGGTGTCATACTGTAACAATGGGAATCATCCAAAACAGGTTGAAAGAGCATCAACTCTTTATGGATCTAAAAAAAAAATACCCACTGAATTCAAACTTAAGGCAAGGGAAAAGAAATGTTGTAGTCCTTCAAGTACCTATTTGATTTGTAAACAAAGAAAAGGAGATCAGAGACATTCTTATATGGTCATAAAAATTATTCTCTCTTTGACTAATAAGACCACACTGCGAGCTGGAGCTTTTGAGATCCAGCCAAGCATTTGTAATAGAACAGGAGTCTGAACAAAAGCTTTCGGCTCCACTGAAAGAACATATAACCATTTCAAAACAGTGTCTGTTCTCTGGAAGGGAGTAGAGCTACATACCACCTTCAGAAAATAAGCAAGGTCGCCAATCCAATTAAATCAGGGCACGAAAATGTCACAGAAAAGACTTCTTTACATTTTCTGATGCATGTTAGCACTTTCTCCATTGGAAAAAGTAATGGAATGCCTCTCAACAATTACACTATGCTGGTCAATGCAACCATCAATTTACCTTCTCAGGACAGACCTCTAATGAATTATTGCATTAAAAACACATCTGTATTACATCACAGGATCTGAGTGATATTTGAAGTTGTCAAAACGTTTTATACTTCCCTAGCAGAATATTCCTGACATCTTCAAGAACTGTCAGATCTGCTGAGCACTTAATGGGTTTCTAAAACACCGCAAAAATTGTGTGCATGATGAAATATGATGTTTGTCTCCCAGTTAAGGGGAAGCTGAACTCAGTTGGTCAGAGTGTGTATTTTATACACTGGGCATTCCTGACTTGTGCAAAAGACCAGAAGAAAACAGGACAGGGTCAAGAACCAGGAGGAAAATCCATGGTCCTGCAAAATAAAATCGAAGTGTAGCCATTTACACATCGAATCATGTCTCCACAGCCAAGAAAAAATTCCACCGCTCACCTCTTTCCAGGTCTTTTGCCAATGAATCTGTGTCCTGTGGCTGTGATCCTCCTTCGAGTTGAAACAGTTTCTTCTCAACTAATCTTACTGAACCCTCCACCTGGCAACTTACAGACCATGTCCTGTGGTTCTAGTCTTTCCAACCAGGGGGGAAAAAAAAGAAACCCTCCCTGCATCTAGTCTGTCCAAGCTTGTTCGAAGTCTAATTGTATCAATAAGATCCCCTCTCAATCTTCTCAACTGTAGTGCATACAGGACCAATCAAGCCAATCTCTCCTCATATGGCAATCTGCCATCCCCAGTATCAGCCTAGTGAACCTCCACTGCACTCACTTTGTGGCATGTATATCCTCTCTTAGATACAGAGATCAAAACTGCCCAGAATGCTCCAGGTACAGTCTCACCAAGGCTCTGTATAACTCAACTAAGAAATCCCTACTTCAGAACTCAAATCCTCTTACAATGAAGACTAACATGCCATTTGTCTTCCTCGTTGCTCGCTGCATCTGCATGCCAACTGCCATTGGTATACAAAGGGATCTGGGTGTCCTTGAACATCCATACTTCCCAACATATCACTATTTAAAAAAATACTCTTCTTTTCAGTTTTTCACAATTAAGTGTATTCCCATTTAACTACGTACTGCATCTGCCAGGTGTTTGCCCACTCATTTAACTTGTCCAAATCCCTTGAAGTCTCCTTGCACCCTTCTCACAACTCTCAATCCTGCCCAGCAGCAAACTGGAAATATTACATCAGCTTCCCTTATCCAAGTCATGTATATATACGATTAACAGCTGGGGCCTAATCTCTGATCCTCATGGTACTCCACTTGTCACTGCTTTAAAAAAGAAAAAAGCCCATTTACTCCCCTCTCTGTTTTCTGTCTGTCAACCAATTCTTAATTAAATGTTGATCTATCATCCCAATCCCATACACTTCAACATTGTCCACTAACCTTGAGGGGCCTACTCAACAGCCTTCGAAAATCCAAATGCAACACATCCACTGGTTCTCCCTTATCTATTTACTGGTTACATTCTAAAAACATTTAGTAGATTAGTAAAACATGATTTGCCTTTCGTAAACCCATGCTAATGTTGTATAATCTCATTAATATTTTCCAAGTGTTCTGTTATCTTTTGTAATAGACTTTTCTCCACGACTGACGTTAGACTAACTGGTCTGTAAATCTTCATGTATTCCTCCCCTTCCTTTTTAAATAGAGACATCATATCAGCCAGCCCTCAATTTGTAGGAACTCCTCCAGAGTTTTGGAAGATGACCATCAATGCATCCAATATTTTTAGGGTCATTCCCTTTCGTACTCTGGAATGTAGATTATTTTTGTGATTTGTCAACCTTTAATACCACTAATTTCCCCAGCACCAGTCTCTTACTAAAAATTATTCCCTTCAATTCTGCCCTCTCACTGGAACCTTGGTTCCCTAAAATTTCTGGGAGATTATTTATGCATTCTTATGAAGAGGGAACTAAAGTTTGTGTTCAATTCTTCTGCCATTTATTTGATACTCATTATAATTTCCCTGGCTTCTGACTGTCAAGGGCCTGCATTTGCCTTTAGTAATCTTTTTCTTGTCACGTATTGATAGGAATTGACTTTCAAACCTTCTATGTTTTGTGTAATCATAATTTATTTCCTCCTCTTGACTTAAATGTTTTGTCTTCCTTTGCATTTTAAAATACTCCCAATCCTTAGGCTTACAACTTTTTTAGGCAATTTTACATGCCTCCTCTTTGGACCAAATACTATTCCTCATTAGTTTTGTGAACCATGGTTGACCAAACATTCCTCTTTCATTTTTGAGACAGGCAGGAAAGAATAATTATTATAATTCATACGCATGTTTTTTTAAATATGAACCATTGCCTGTCCACCAGCAACCTCTTGACTAAGGTTCCCTAATCTATCATGCCAATTTGCTCATAGTTCCCTTTATTTAGCTTCAAAAAAGGTACAAGGACATTCTAACTAGCTACAGTTTAGCATCAGCAGTGGGTGAGATGTTTGAACAATAATTAGGAAAAGATTAGAGAGTTAATTAAAGAGAGCTAGCACAGATTTCTAAAAGGTAGGTCGTGCTTGACTCATCTAATTGAATGTTTTAATGCAGTAACAGGGAAAAGTGACGAGTACAGTGCAGTGGATATTACTCCTTTGGATCATAAGAGGTGTCTGACAAAACAACCTTAAAGGCTTGTGAACATAATTCAAGCTTAGCAATAAGAAGGTCACCATGAAAGTGAATAACAAAGCTGGTTTAAGTTGTGGCAAATGATTGTTTTTCCAGATCGGAGGATGGTAGATAATTGTGTTCCCCAAGCATTTGTACAACTGCTTCTTTTGATGTGTATTAATCACTTAAATCCAGAGTAGCATTTCCAACCTTGTCAATTATATCAAATTTCTTTTAGAAGAACAGTGAGATGATGCCAACTCACTGCAAAAGGAGATGGGCTGACTAATATACCAGGCAGACAAGTCGCAGGTAGAATTTAATACAGAGCGGTATAAGCTGGTGCATTTTGGTAAAAGGTTAGGGAGAATATAGGTTTAATGGCACAGTTCAAAACAGAGTGTACAGAGACAGAGATCTGAAGGTTCACACAGAGATGTTTGAAGCTGGCAGGACATAATGTAAGGGTCATTAACAAAGCAAATGGAAGCTTGCATTTCATAAACTGAGTACAAAAGCAGGGAAGCTATGTTGTTACCTTATGTCACAAAGCTCCGGTTAGGCTGCAAGTAGAGAAATTCTGGGCACCACACTTTAGAAAGGATGTGTGGGTCCTCTTGAAGGCGCTGTCGAGATTTACGAGAATGCAGGGATAGGAGAATTTAGCTACAAGCTTAGCTAAGTTGAAGAAGCTGGAATTGTTCTTCGAGCAATGGAGGTTTAGCAGCACCCTGCTAGATGTGTGCAGGATTGCAGATTGTTTAGATAAACCAAGAAGCTCTGTAACCATCAGCTAATCGTATAAAGACTAGAAAATATTGTTTTCAAGCTTTGGACAAGAAATGCAGAGGGAATGTTAGTCAGAATCTTTTACACCACAATGGCCTGTATCTCGCTGACTACAACATAGTTTGTTTTGAAAGCAACCATGACATACGAGTACTTCAGAGAAGTAAACTTATGACACCTCCAAGAAAAGAGTGTAGGAATGGGTCTGACTAGGTTACTTTTCAGAGAGCTGGCATGGACACGAGGGCTTCAAAACCTCCTTTGGTACACTTTTACACAGATGGCATATCCTTGTTTGGTGGAGACTGGCTTTCATGACTGTATGTGACAAGGCAGGTGGCAACAAAATGAGATTTGCAACAATGTGCCTTCTAACTGAACATGACAGGGTGATGTGACGTGGCAAGGGTGTGTCGCAACAGTGTGCACCAGGATGCATTGTTGGAGTGTGGAGTGATGGCAGTATGCAGCAGGGTGTTCTGTGGCATGGTGGCGTGCGACAGGGTGCATTCTTGGAGTGTGAGCCAGGCTATCACAGAACTGAACAGTTGGTAACTGTTTAAGCAATAGCTTGGTAACTTGTGTGGGAAGGAGCAATTCTGCTAGTTCACCAATTCTGATTGGCTATTTGTTTACACAGAGCATGGAGACAAGCTTTGTAAATAGGACACACAATGACCTGATAATATTTCCCTTGAGTAGCATTATACATCGCACAGAGTTTGCATTAATCTACTATTGATGGTCTCCTTACCATTGAACCTGAGGTATTGGTGATCCAAAATACGCACAGTCCAGCAACGCAGCCTTGTTGGCAATTACCTGATAAACCTGGTCAGCTGGTGTAAGCATTCTGGGTGGCTCAGCTGAAAAATGCACCAAAAGGTAAACATTTATCATTGAAATCATTTTTTAAAATCTTGGTTTCTAAAATTACTCAGGCCAAAGAATGTGCAAGAACATCCAACAATACATGAGACATAGGTGATATTGTGGTTCATTTTAAAAATCTTTTTCATGGGTAAGAGCATCTCCAGCTGGGCCAGGAGTTACAAACCGTTTGTAATGGTGATTGAAGCGGTGGTGGTAAACTGCCTTATAGGAACAGGATTTCAAGATTTCGACCGAACAACAGTCAACAAACGGTGATACAGTTTCACAACATGATGTGGAGATGCTGGTGTTGGACTGGGGTAGACAAGGTCAGAAATCACACGACGCCAGGTCATAGTCCAACAGTTTATTTGCAAACACAAGCTTTCGGAGCGTAGACTTCACCTGACAATGAGGCTACATTCCGAAAGCTTGTGTTTTCAGATAACTTTGTTGGACTATAACCTGGTGTCGTGTGATTTCTGACCTAGTTTCCCATCAGGATGGCGTGTGGCTTGCTGGGGAACTTGAAGGTGTTCCCATCCATTTGCTGACCTTGCTGTCCTAGATGGTCAAGGTCCCAGGAATGTACTGACAAGGGAGGCTTGGTGAGCTGCTGCATTGCATCATGTGGATGGCACGCACCACTGAAGATAGCGGCGGATGGGGTTTCAATTAAGCAGACAACTTGGTCAAGCTTGTTGAGTGCTGTTGGAGCTGCATTCATCCAAGCAAGTGGGGAGTATTCCATCACACTCCCCACTTGTAGTTGATGGACCGGCTTTGGGGAGTCAGGGTGGGAGTTGCCCACCTCAGAATGTTTAGCCTCCGAGCAGCTCGTTACCACGGTATTTAATTGGCTGATGTAGTTCAGTTTGTGGTCAATGGGAACACCAGGATGTTGATCGTGGAGGATTCAGCAATGATAATGCAGATGTGTGTGAAGGGCTGATGGTTAGATTCTTTTCTAAGGAAAAAGGTCCATGCCTGACACTTGAATGGTCAAATGCTATTTGGCACCTCTCAGCTAAAAACCAGAGGATGGCATTGGATTGACAGCAATAGCTCAAATGCCTCTCAGGATACCCATACGAGGTCATCTGTTGATGTCAGACACCTCACTGCAGAAGCTGGGAAACTACCTTTAATGAGTTATGAAGATCAAACAGCCTAGCTCATCCATCCATGATATTGTACAGACCTTTGAAAACTTCAATCACTGGCTCAGGAATTAATGTCTAGATTTTATTTCCCTTACTCTACGCAGAAACTCATTCGACATGTTGACTGCTGTTTAATGAATTCTGTCTTTAATACCATTTCCTGAATTAACCTTCCATCTATTGCTTTCCTAGCTGCTTGGCTCAAATTGTCAGGATTCTCAAAAAACTGCTCTGAATTTCACTCGTCTGTCCCATTATACGCTTCGCCTCATTCAGAAAACCATGACTTGTTTTAGTTGTCTTTGCTGTCTCAGGTCAGAGTTGAAACTTGCAATTACTACTGAGGAAACTAGACAAATGGACATGTTGCAAGGCAAGCAGCAAAATCATAAATGAAGGATCACTCTAGCAAGAGGAAAGGAGTTAGAGGAAGAGAGCAAATTTCAAATCAACTCTCCAACAAGATGATAAAAGGATCCAATTGGAAGATTCATGGATAAACTACAATTTGAATGAAGGTTTCTCTTGTTGGATGCAGTTACAACAGGCAGTATCCTGGGGCTGAGACAAACATTACAGAAACACAGAAGAGCTATGTTGCTTCCCACAGTGTTAAGTCTGACCTCTAACTGTCTGACCTTCTCATGAGGCACTTGGAACAGAATTGTCCATTTCGTAGAACTAGCATCATTCTACGTAAAAATATCTGATGTCCTAAAAGTAAACAATTGCAAAACCCAGTTTCTTGAACTTAATGTTCCATGTAAGTTGGTCAGAACTAAAACAATTCCAATTCTTCAAATGGATTTTACTTCAGCTTTGACCAAGAGGTATCAATGCATTGAAAAGTGCCTGTAGACGCAAGAGGCCCAAAACCTATTCTGCTTTTAATGGGATCAGGGATGGATAAAATAGGCAAAGCACTTCAGAAAGACTATCAAACTTTTAACTTTATTTCTTTACTTTTCTACCCAATACTAAAAGGCCAGTGACATTTAACTTTTAGTTTTATTTGTTTACTTTCTACATTAGACTAAGAAGGACTGCAATGTTTAACTTTTAGTTTTGTTTCTTTATTTTTTTGCTTTATACCCAAGTACCGCTGTACCTAAGATGGCGCCAGGAATGGCAGCATCATACACTCTTCACTGTACTCGTGTACTTCTGTTCTTGAGTAGACGAGACAATAAAATTTAAACTAAATAAAACTAAACTAAACAGCCGGTAAGTCATCACAGAGGACTCAGGTAGGCCACAGCCTCTAATCAACTGAAAAGAAAGTAACAGAACACTCCTGGCTGCAGGCACAGCAGAGGCCACCCAACTTTAATGTGCAATATTTCTCGTCTGGAGGCAAGGCAGTACCAATTTTAGAAAGGGGACTGGGTGTCCCAAGGGACAGCATTTTGAAGGGTAGATAGCAGGCCTTGCACAGTCACTGACGTCCAGCCCGTCCACATGCTGAGCCCACGATACAGGGTAGCGAGGGGAGTCTGGTCAACAAGCAACATTCATGTGAGAGTCACTGGGAGGAAAGTCACGAGCTGTTTAAAGGCAATAGCACAGCTTACCGAGTACATTGACAAATGCGTTTGCCAACAAATATCCGTGCTCATTGGAAGCATTGCACTGGTAAACGGCGCTGGAAGAGACCTGCACTTTTGTGAAGCGGATAGTGTCATCCATTGGCTCCCTGCTGATGTCACTTGGGGCATCTGCAAACCGGAAAGAGGCGAAAGGTTTCCGAACCAGAGATTTCAGAACCTGACTGTATTCGGAGAACAGAAAAGATTCTTCAAACAGTCCCGTTCTGCACTAACGCTAAATGCCCCTGTACTCACTTTCGATTGGAAAACCATTGACCAGCCATTGGACAGTAGGCTTGGGGTTGCCATTAGCTCTGCAGATCAGCGTTCCGTCTTCCCCAGGCGCGAGAATCAAGTTCTTGGGTTCGCTGATCCAGTACGGTGCAGCTGCAAAGACCAAATTACATACAAAAGGCAAAGGAACAAGTCTTACTCTCTGAAACAACTTCTAGCACCGCCACTACTTTCAGCACGGTCAACTGCAAAGTTGTCTCTCTGCAACCTGATCCAGAAGATCTACGTAAATGTCAGAACAGACTCAAGAACTTAAATGGCTTCATCCTACTCCGAAATTTCCATGTTGCTTTCCTTTTAATGGGAGGAAGAGGAGGAGGTGGTGCAAATAAGTCTAAGTGTAAGAGTTGTGGTGAGCAGTCTCAATGAAGCTGTCAAAATCCCAGCTAATGAATTAGAGTTACTACGATTCAGTCTTATTTGCATCCAAGCTTCTAATTTAGACTGATGTTAAAAATATATTATTTTCACTCAATCTTGTCTGACCTTAAGTTATGAACTTCCATATCTAACTCAAATAGACACTGAAATAACAAGCCATTGCCTCATTAACTGGGAGAGCTTTATGCCTTTCCTGATTCAAAGTTAACACTTCCAGTCAATCTTTCAAGACTTAATGAAGCCTCAGGCATTGTGCGTGTGAAAAGCTGGGTTTGTTATCAAAAGGCTGAGTCCTATTTATAGCTTCCTGCTTTTCAACATGATGCTCTTGTTATTTTCGGTTACCTCAGTCAGCAAGCAGTGTTGTCCTCTCGGATTTAGGAACAAATCCAAGCTCTGCTCCAAAACCGATGCTTCACTTTGATAGAGGGACTGCTGCACTATCAGAGGCATAAACCAAGGTTTTTCATTCCATACCCTGCTTGGGAGTAGGTGGGAACAGAACATTCTTCAAAAGATCCCCATCTCGTTACAAAGGTTAGGGTTAGTCCCATTGGTGCCAAATGTGAGGGGCTCCAGCTGCACTGGCAGAATTAACAACATGAAAGTGATGATGGCAGTGCTGTCGATGTGCCTTTGAATGGTATGTTCTACCGTCAGGGGAAAAGGAAAAATACCTTCTTCTGGCATCCAGGGACTTGATTCAGGGAGTACACCCTTGTACAGGCCCTCGGACTACTAAATTGCGGGGATAAAATGGACTAGTGTCTCTGGCAGCTTTGGACTGCCATCTCCATGTCATAACTAGACAATCCCAGCAACAATCACTCGGTAGTCAGGCTCTGATTTAATCACTGCAATGAATTGCTTTAGAGGTGACAGAAAAGATACCATAAAAGTACAATTCTGTTGTTCATAAAGATAACCTTTTGAGGTTCTAAAATGTTCTCGATTCCTCTCTTTCCCCACGTACGCAGTGTGTCAAAAGAGCTTATCTCTGTACAACTGGAGCCATACCTTTGACTGTAACAGAAATGACGTGTGTACTGCTTCCCAAGTAATTCTTTGCCATGCATCGGTATTTCCCAGCATCCGACTCAGAGACGTCAATAATTTTCAGGGTCTTCTTAAAATTGATCTCCAAGGCCCGGTGGCTGGGCAATTCTCCCCCTTCTTTGGTCCAATGGATAATTGGTGTGGGCCTGGAACACAACAGACAAGCCTTACAAGGGAATTAGCTTTCATTAATAAAAGGGATTGAGTTCAAGAGCCGTGAAGTTATGCTCCAGCTATACAAAAGCCTGGTTTGGTCACATCTGGAGTATTGTGTCCAGTTCTGGTTGCCTCATTACAGGAAAGATGTGGAAGCATTGGAAAAAGGTGCAAAGGAGATTTACCAGGATGTTGCCTGGAATGGAGGGAAGGTCTTACGAGGAAAGGTTGAGAGAGGCAGGGCTTTTCTCTTTAGCACGACAAAGGAGGAGAGGTGACTTGATAGAGGTGAACAAAATGATCAGAGGTACACAAAATGATCAGAGGTACAGATAGAGTGGACAGCCAGAGACTTTTTCCTAGGGTGGAGGTAGCTACTATAAGGGGGCATAGTCTTAAAGTGAGTGGAGGTACAAATAGGGGAGACGTCAGAAGCTCTTTACTCAGGGTGGTCAGGGCGTGGAATGCATTGCCGGAGAGGATAGTGGAGTCGGCCTCATTAGGGGCATTTAAGCAGCTAATAGACAGGCACATGGATGATAGTATAAGGTAGAGGTGGAGGTTAGATAGACCTTAGGTTTAGGGTAAAAGTTCAGCACAACATCGTGGGCCGAAGGGCCTGTATTGTGCTGTACTGCTCTATGTTCTACGTTCTATGGAATGTCAGGCATCAGAGTTTCACAGAAGGAGTACCTACTGGGTCTGAACTGGCTCACCGAGTGAGCAATCCTAGAGTGCCATTCTCCTACCTTCTGCCCATAACCCTGCACCTTGCTTCTTTTCATACAATGACATTTTTAAGTTATAACAAAAAATGCTCACACCCACACAAAGAATACAAAAAAAAAGGTAAGGTTGTCAACAGGTTCTTTGCAAACCTGTGGCTGGACTGTTCAGTGCACTGCTGAGACCGTGCTTTTGGATGAGCTTTAAATTTGACCCCATTTGCCCTCTCATGTGGGCATTAAAGATTCCACTGCACTCTATTCAACATAGGAGGTTTCTCCCCTGTGAACTGAACAATATTTATCTCTCAAATTAACAGCTGCAGCAAAATTGCTCATCTAGTTATGATTACTTTGGGATCTTGCTGTGGATGTGATGGACAGTGCTCATTCAACATTACAACAGTGACTAAACTTCAAAAGGTACTTGATTGGCTGTGATGTGCTTTGGGGTGCCTTGAGGATACGGAATGTGACAAATAAATCCAAGTTCTTTCTTTCATTCTCGTCCGTTCTTGACCCAACTCCCTCTTCTCCAGCAGATGTTGGATCCTGCAGAGTTGAATTGGGCACTGGAGTCCAGCAGCTATCCAGCTAAAGTAGTTGGGAGCAAGAGGCAGTGGGGAAATCATAGAATCCCGACAGTGTGGGAGCAGGCCATTCGGCCCGTGTCTGCACCACCCTCCAAACAACATCCCACCCAAATCCAAACCACATCCCACCCAAATCCAAACCTGACCCTGTCCTTGAAATCCTGCATTTTCCCAAGGCTAATCCACCTTAGCCTGCACATCCCTGCAATACCTCACATGTATCCAAATTAAACTGAGCTTTCTCCAGCAATCCTTGTGTTTGTTTCAGATTGCCAACATTTGCAGTATTTTGCTTGTATTCAAGTTTTTGCAGTCATTTGATTAGATTGGTGACAGCACAGGGAAGTACTCTGTTATTGTGCCGTCAGTTTTATTTTATATGCACCCGATAAAGCAACACAGCATTAATGACTCATTTAAAATATAAAATAGCACCTCGGACACAGGAAAATAAAACTTCTGGGAATGGGACATTTCAACTCACAGGCCGTCAGCAATACATTCCAAGTACAGGACCTCTCCTCTCAGTACAGTCTTACTGCTGCTTGCTTCTTTGGGACTGATAATGATGGGCCTTCGCTCTCCCACTGGGCTGTCTGCAAGAACACAAATCCATGAAGCCATCAACAGAACCAAACCAAATAGCTATTAACGTGCACTCGAGAGCAGAATTTGAAGGTTAACCGCACACAAAAGATCTGGAAACTGCTTCAGAAGCACTAAACTACAGTATTAGTAATAATTAGTGACAAAGCAAGGACAGGGTAAACAGGCAAAGTCTTTTCCCTGGGGCGGGAGAGCGCAAAACTAGAGGACATGGAAGTAAGGTGAGACGGGAAAGATATAAAAGGGACCCAAGGGGCAACATTTTCAGGCAGAGTTTGGCACGTGTATGGAATGAGCTGCCAGAGGAAGTGGAGGAGGCTGGTATGATGACAACATTTAGGAGGCATCCAGGCGGGTATATGTAAAGGAAGGGTTTAGAGGGATATGGGCCAAATGCTGGCAAATGGGACTAGGCTTTTATAGGAACAAAAGCAGAAGTTGCTGGAAAAGCTCAGCAGGTCTGGCAGCATCTATGAAGAAAAATCAGAGTTAACATTTTGAGTCTGGTGAACCTCCCTCAGATCTTTATAGGATACCTGGTCAACATGGATGAGTTGGACCGAAGGGTGTGTTTCCATGTTATATATCTCTATGATTCTATGTCCTATTCACTTATTCACCATTTCAATCCTCCTTAGGACACCTGTCATTGCAATATTGCTGCCACACCAGCTTGTCTACAGCAAAAGGCATTCATTCCTTGAATCAGAGCAAGTGTCTTTGTAGCACTCAATTACTGCACACGACGTTCAAAGCATCTCTGCCCAGCCTTGTCATTCTGTGCAATGCTGAGCTTATGGCTGCCCAGCAATTTGGTCTTGCCTTGCCTTTTTAGCAAAAGACCCAAGTCAGGCAGTTTGTCACCGCTGTCAGCGGCGATCAGTCAAGGGGAGGACATGTTACTGTACTGTGTTACATCAATGTCCCACCTGCAGCAGCTCATCCAGCAAACTCACAAAATGTTCTTCAACCAAATGGCCAAGGAGTGAAGTGCAAAGAGACCTCAGTTAAGTCAATGGAGGCCCACCATTGGTTAGTGGTTCCCACTACAGTCAGTTAAGGGCATTGTCCAATATCAGGTCAAGGGCTTGGATGCAGTCTAAATGGTTGGGACACAGAATCAGGTGTTCTGTATCATTCCAGTCTGGGGAGCCGGCCACCAGCAGTCCTGCAGGTCCAGCAGTCCTGCAGGTCCAGCGTAATGAGTCCAGGAGGTTATAGTCAGTCAGCTGGGGAGCTGCATGGTGATCGGTCAGGGCTCCAGTCACTTATCAGTCAGGGATAGTAGGAACAGCTGATGCTGGAGATTCTGAGATAACTAGGTGTAGAGCTGGATGAACACAGCAGGCCAAGCAGCATCAGAGGAGCAGGAAGGCTGACGTTTCAGGTCTGCACCCTTCTTCAGAAATGGACTCATCGGTCAGGGTTGTTCTTTCAAGTCAGTCAAAGGGGGTGGCAGGGGTTTTTAAAACGCCTCGATTGCAATTAAAGATATCTTAGTGTAATTAATTTATTTAATCATCTGTGCCACATGAATCTAGTAAGGATTAGCTGCTATTTTCTTTTGTATTTCAAACGGCCAACCACTTACATCAGCAGTTCACATTCCACAGTCTCTGAATAAACTGAGCTGTAATTTTGGGCGAATTGTTTGGAAGCTTCAAAGGTTGACTTGCATTCCGTGAAAATACAACATGCGTATTATTGTGTTATCTTTTCAGATTGAGAGCTTACAGTTCAAGGTGCATTCAATTTAAATTGCGCAGATAGCACCATAAACACACAAAAGGTTCATTTTACATGATCTAGTTATTGGAAAGTCAAGCTGCCAAGTATAACCAGCACAATGGAGCAGGTGGGGCTGCATTCATGGAACAGAAACGCTCTTTTCTGTTCTACCTATTCAGCTTGCTTTTATTTCTAATTAGATTATTCTGTACAAAACCTTTCGCGCGTACTCACTCCATCACAGTAATCAGACTTCCTTTCCAGCCCAGCCCAATGGTTTTGAAGTCACAACTCCATTTTAACGAGGAACGATTGAGGACTAAACCTGAGATTTTAAATCTATTTCTTTTCACTGGGGCCAGAAAAATTTCAGTTCCTCAGTAATGAGACAAGTAACTGGAAACTGCGCATAGGCTTAGGAGAGACACAGTCAGACCTCTGCAACCTGACTCCTTTCAGATAGCATCTTCTGGCTCGCATGGCCTGAACTTCCTGACAAAGGGATCTCAGTGCTACCTTTGGGGAAGGAAAGCCAGACACAGGGGCTGTTATCTATATAAAATTGGCACAGCTCAAAACCCAGAATACTAAGCAGCTCTGAGTGGCCCTGATCTGCGAGGTCATTGGAATGAGGCTTTAAGCCAGGTGGGCTGCCTGTACAAAACTGTACCAGCATCACTTACAACACAAGGTGATGGCCTCGTGGTATTATCGCTAGACTGCTGATCCAGGAGACCCAGGTAATGTTCTGGGGACTTGGCTTCAAGACAGATGGCGGAATTTGAATGCAAAAAAAATAAGAGTTTAATCATGGCATGAAATCATTGCCAATGGTCAGGAAAACCCATGTGGTTCACTGATGTCCTTTAGGGAAGGAAAATCTGCTACCCTCACCTGGTCTGGCCTACATGTGATTCCAGACCCACAGCAAAGTGATTTGCTTTTAACTGCCGTCGGGGCAATTAACTATGGGCAATAAATGTTGGTCCAGCCAGTGACCCCCACATCCCATAAATGAGTCAAACAAAAACACGATATCACCGTAACGATGAGAGGTTACAGCCTTTAACCAGTGTGTCTGCCTCTATAGATAAGCAGTCTGACCTGCTGAGTTTCCCATCATTTCCAACATGCATTTGGCATCAAGCTACTCTTCAAAATTTAAATAATCGGTGTTTTCAAACAGGTCAGTCAAGGCGGGCAGGGAGAGCTCCCTCTCTCATTGCAGGGTACGTATTATAACCAGGGTGAAACGGTTTATCTGTCTATCTCGTGCTGCATTTGAAACAGAACCAGCAGCGGATGACCTCGCTCAGACCCTAGAGAACATTCTGGAGGCAGGACCAGGACCAGCACAGTAGCTGTCCAACAACCACTAGCCCCATTTACCATCTTACTTGCCCCATCTACCCCATGCAGCACAGGACTGCAGGGAGCCAAATCCTCAGTTTAGGAAAATTTAACAGGTCACCGTGGGCTTATGTGCTCAGTGCCAAAATAAAATGGGCTTGTGCATAATTATTTCGAACTATGTTCAACGAGGAGAATTGTTTTGAAATTGAGCCAGTGGAAGGTTTAGCAACAAATATCGGTTCCAATCGCAAACACTGAATATCAATGGCTGGTGCTGTATATTTTAAACGTTAATGATCATGAAAAGCTGGTAATGGTTTGCTGTTTGCCCCCACACTTGCTGCACTGGAACAGGTGCCTACAGCCTCACAGCTATCATATCTGAACGGCCATTACTCGTCCAGACCTGTCAATGTCGATAGACTATTCGACTGCAGAGACCATCACCACAGAGCTTCAATTTTACCCTTGCGAATTAGTCTCTGGAGTGCTGCTCAGGAACCAGGAGTGGGGGTGTCCTCCCTGTCATCTGGGCCTCCATCAGACAGCAGATGCTTGGGAGCAACCCCTCCCCAGCAACCACAAGCCGCAAGAAGATTAGGAAGGCTCTGTTAGTGTATGGACGGACGTGGCATTGATCCTATTGTGGTAGCCCACCCGTAAGCGACAAACCAATTGTATTGCCCAGATTGTTATTAAGTTAGTTAGACGCAGCACAAGTTATAAGAGGTCACGAAACTGATTTTAGAGACTGTTCGATTATGATCAGGAGCTGTAAATAGTTACAGCCAGATGATTAAGGTCTACTGGTGTTAAAACACACACACACTCAGGGGCACAATAACTCACCACCATACAGTTCAGTGCCATTCGAATAACCTGCATAAGTCTCATTGATGGCATCCACTGAAATAAACAGAACAGTATAAGCATGTGCTAGGGAACCAGACAAGTATAACCCAGAGCTGAGAGGGTTTCTCAGCCTATTGCCTTGAAGAACTTGATTCCATTCTCCCAGCTGCTCCATCTCAGTCACATTACTTCAGTGATATTACCTTCCAGACCAGTGCTTCCTCCAAGTAATCCTTCTTCCTCAGGATTCCTCCCCACTCTTGTGGGCAGGACTCCTCCACTTCACACAAACTATTGTTCTTATTGTTTTCCCTTCCTCCCAAAACATGACAGGGCTTAGTCTCCTAAAGCCTTTGTATTTCATAGATTCTGCCATGTCTTCCAACTCAAGGGGGACGTCACCAACAAACACACCTTCCCCTGACCCCCGCCGAGCCCACACCACCTCCTGTCCACCCACCACCAAACTTTCAGATCCATGATATCTCAGTGACTCAGTCATCTCATTTCTCCGTCATTTAGCTGCCTCCTTTTTCACCACGTAGGGTGCTAAGCACTCCTTCCAATGCATTCCTTACACCTCTTTCAATTTCTTTCACTGCGTTTGCTCCTCATGACATGTAATACATCTACAGGGCAAATACACCAATACATGCCTGCACAGGAGGACAGTGTGGTGTCCTGGAACAATGCATCCCATATTCCCATGAGACTTTCACGTCAATGATACTCGGGAGACAGCATCTGCTGCGCTAAAATAATACCGTGGGTATCGTCTACTGGCTCTCGGAGGACTTGGGGGAAAAGCATGGGACCCTCAGGCTATATGTTGTGGTGGAACATCTGCGCATGTGGTGTTAAGGGGATCGGTGTTGCCCCTCAGCACCATTCATCATACGAAAAGATGCACGGCTGAAGAGACCAAGCTGTACTTACGTGTCAACACCTGAACAGAGATTGGCTGTTTCTGCTGAATCGTTTGAGTGTGGTTGAACCTCGCATAGCAGATGTAGTCCCCCCGAGTGTCCTCCGGTTGCACATTTGAAAAATACAGATCTCCGTTCAGACCCTGTGAGACCCGTTCGTTCTGTGCAAACCTTTGCATCACTACAGAGAGAGAGAGAGAGAGAGAGAGAGAGAAACACACCGAGAATAAAGATTTAATCGTGTGCAATGCTGGGACTGAAGGCGTTTCGCCTTCCATGTCTCACCGTTTGGATCGTAACATTAAGAATCACCTCGCAGTATACCCAAGGCAGAATCCTAGGCTCTCCTTCAGCTGCCTGCAAATCCATATGTGAAATATCTGGGAATAACAGCGTGGAGTTGGAGGAACACAGCAGGCCAGGGAGCATCAGAGGAGCAGGAAAGCTGACATTTCAGGTCAGGATCCTTCTTCAGGCCCGAAACGTCAACTTCACTGCTCCTCTGATGCTGCCTGGCCTGCTGCGTTCCTCCAGCTCCACACCGTGTTATCTCTGGCCCCAGCATCGGCAGTTCTTACTATCTCTGCAGTAAATATCTGGGATGTTTAGTCAACAGGTTCCGCAGTTCAGCGTGGTTGTGAATCCCCCTCATTCAGGAAATGTGGGCTGTCACCTACGGTACCACCCCTTCCCTGCTCTCGATCAGAGCTGGAATAATGACTGAAAATACATGCAGGTATCTCATAAGAAAATCACACAGCATCTAAGGCAGAGGGAAGGAGCCTTGGGTTTGATGATAAACACTCCCTATGCACCACAGGAGTCAGAAGAGAAATGGCTGAAATCCTACTCCAGACTACAATCTACCTAGAGGAGGGACTGGCTTCTGGAAGGATGGCCTTGAGTGTTGGGATAGTATTCCTGTGCCTGAAGGGCCGTGTTCAAGCTCCAGAGAACACCAGAGCAAAGACAAGGCAGAAGGAAAGTCTTGCACTTATAAGGCACCTTGCACGACCACAGGACATTCCAAAATCCTGACTGCCAGCACACTCTTAATGAAGAGCAGCCATTTTCTCAGTAGGAAACACAGTTGCCCTATTCGGCACTCTCGCAAACAACAGGGAGACAATACCAGATAATCTGTTACTTTGTGAGTTAATTGAAGGGGTCAACAATGGGCCCGGACCAAAGAAAGAACACCACCCTCCCCCCAACTTTTCTTCAAATTAGCCTTTTCACACCCACCATTGCAGGACATCAGTTTAATGTCTTATCTGATGCGTGGCAACGTCAATACTGCAGCATTCCCTCAGCACTGCACTGTCTAGTGAGGGGTGTGCTGAAGTCCTGGAGTGGGACCTGAACCCAAAACCTTCCAAGCTCAGCTGCCAGGAATGCTGCCCACTGAGGCACAGCTGATGGTGTTGTGAGGGGGTGGGGGACATGAGCGAGGGATGTGTTGGTGGGGGTGGCGGGAGACCCTCTTACTGTAGAAGTTGGGTGGGGCTCTTTAGCTTTGCTTCTAGCAGCCTAGGAGAGGGTGCTCCAAAGAAGAAAAACAAGTGGAAAGCAGTGGAAAACCAGCTCAGCTCCATCCTAATAGGTTGCTCCAGTACTAAAGTCACCGAAAGTTCCAGCCATGCTCCAGTGACTTGGGTTCAAATCACTGTCAGGGAGGGGAAAGGATAAGGTTAGGGCATTAATTCTATTTATCAAAGCCAGGCTCGTTGATGGTGACCACAAAACTACCAGTAATCAATCAAACGTGAACAAAATCCACAATCCTCATCTGGTTTGATCTCCATAACTCTTGACTCCTTCTCTAAGTGGCTGAGTACGCTGCTACCAATGCCAGATGGACTGCAGCAGTTTAAAAGGCACCTTCTCAAGGTTAATAAGAGACAGGCAACATATGCTGGTCATGCCAGCAAGGCTCAAGTCTCATGAATGAATTTTTAAAATTTTCCTACGTAAGGATTGAATCAGAACCTGTTGACCACTGCAGGACAGACAAAATCCAGTGGAAATTCTCTGTCAGAATCGCTGACCTTCTTGCAGATTTCCATGCTGTCATCTCCACACCAGTTTTTCTTTCTTTCTCAACAAGCAGATTTGCTGGCAGCTCGGGTTATTCATTTTGGCTGGTTTCCAATTTTGAACGTGGAACATTACCAATGAGAAACAGCAGATGTTGACGAGGGTAGAGCAGTGGATGTGGTTTACTTGGACTTTAGTGGAGCCTTTGACAAGGTTTCGCATGGTAGACTAATTAGTAAAGTTGGATCATGTGGGATTCAGGGTGAGTTTGCCAATTGGATACAAACTTGGCTTTAAAGGTAGGAGACAGAGAGTGGTGCTAGAGGGTTGTTTTTTGGACTAGAGGTTTGTGACCAGAGATTTTGCACAAGGATCGGTGTTAGGTCCATTTTGTTTGTCACTTATAAAAATGATTTAGATGAGAACATAGGAGGCACGATGAGTAAGTTTGCAGATGACACCAAAATTGCTGGTGTAATGGGCAGTGAAGAAGGTTATCTAAGATTACAAAGAGACCTTGATCATTTAGGCTGAGGAGTGGCCGATGGAGTTTAACTTGGATAAATTTGAGGTATCGCATTTTGGTAACGCAAACAAGGACTGGGCTTATACAATTAATGGTAGGGCCTTGGGTAATGATGTAGAATGGAGACACCTAGGGGTTCAGGAACATAATTCTCTGCAGATTGCATCACAGATACACAAGATGTATAAGAAGGCATTTAGCACGTTTGCTCAGACCTTTGAGTTTAGGAGTTGGGAAGTCACGTTGAGGTTGTACAGGACATTGGTGAGGCCTTTTCTGGAGTACTGTGTACAGTTCTGGTCGTCCTGTTATGGGAAGGATATTATTAAACTGGAGAGGGTTCAGCAAAGATTGACCAGGATACTGCTGGGAATGGAGAGTTTGAGATATAAAAATAGACTGGAAAGGCTGGCACTTCTTTCACTTGAGCGTAGGAGGTTGAGGGGTAAACCTGATAGAGGCTTATAAAATCATGAGAGGCATAGATGGGGTGAATGACAATGGTCTTTTCCTAAGGGTGGGGGATTTCAAAACTAGGGTGCATAATTTTAAGGTCAGAGGGGAAAGATTTAACAAAGACTTGAGGGGAAACATTTTTATAGAGAGTGGCTTGTGTGCGAATGAAATGCCAGAGAAAGTGGTAAATGCAGGTACAGTTACAACATTTAAAAGACATTTGGATAAGTTCAGGAATAGAAAATGTTTGGAGGGATATGGGCCAATTGCAGTCACATGGGACTAGTTTAGTTTAGGATTATGGTTGGCGTGGACTGGTTGGCCAAAGGGTGCATTTCTATGCTGTATAACTCTATGACTCTACATGCACCGTTTCTGTGTATGACTGTAAGAATACTGGTCACAATGCTATAGCTGGGTCCAGGAGAGAGATTGGTAAATATTGCGGCAGTGTTCTGTTGTCGGGTCAAACGTGACTTTTTTTTTTAAAAGCATGGTAAACACCAAGTCTACACAAGTAAAACCCTCGGCCACAAGGCTGCTAGAGAGAAGCATCACTGGCAAATGGTGTAAACACTTATTTTCAGATCAAAACATTAACGTTTTGGACTACATCACCCCTCAAGTCTGACTTAATCCATTACATCTTATTAATTTATGACTCCTTATCTTTCAGTGAACCAGACCCAAACATGGTCTGTCTCTCTCATTTCCCTCCGATGCTGTTAGCCCTTAACTTACAGGAGGTGCCCAGTGACATGGAATTTGGGCTACTGGTTGGTTCAATGGCAATCAATGGTAACCAAGCCTTCAGAGCCAGAGAAGGAACAAAGCCAAAGGGCATGGGGTATGCTCACTGACTCCAGATCCACAAACATGCCTTCCTTCAACAGGAGTCTCACCTCAGAGATTTCCTCTCACTGTCTCAGAACCAGCCTCTCCTGAATTTGGGCACTGCACTTATGTTCCAGTTCGTTGCTCAAACACCCTGCGGTATTTCCCTTGTCTCTCCATGTGGAAGGTAGGCTATGCCAATTTTAATTCGCTCCTTTCACCTCCCATAACCACTCAGCACCAGCACTGCATACCCCGCTTGACCTTCCAATCCCCACATTCCACCCCACTTTTCCCATCACTGAACCTTAAATATCTACATGATGGCTCAAGTCCTGGCAACTTGCTAAATCGAACATTCAGCAAGTCTCAGTATAACCAAATCACAATCCTGCTCACACTCGCATGCTTTCTGCCACTTGAGGGTGGTAAGCCTTCAAAAGTTGGCCAATCCCTCCAGTCAGCTCCCAATGTCCAGTCAACTCGGCTATTTCTTGGGAACTGCACAGACAAGCCCGAGAGGTCTGCTCCATACTTACAGTTATCCATCCAGAAGATGATCGGAGGTGGCAGGCCAGATGGCGGGTTACAGGGGAGGACGAGCGAAGCCCCCTCACGGACTTCGATCACATCAATCTTTTCTTTTGCCCACATGGGGGACCCTGTAAAATGGGAGCAGCATAGATCACAAAGTTAACAACATGAATCTTGCCTGAAGAATGGTACGGGCTGCACAGATAACAGGGGAGGTATCATGGTTGCCTGGAATCATCTTTGGGAAGGTTCAGCAAACAAACACTCAACATAATCCTACCATATTTCTTTGTCCATTATAGCAGAGCAGTTGCCCTGTTTAGGTTCAGCAACCCCCGTTACAATAATGGACGGTAACAAAGACACTTGTTTGTTCAATGGCACCTCCAGCAAGAGTTTCTAGACTGACATGACCACAATATCGACAGGACAGGCATTTAGATTTCCAACGGAAGTGCGTGGAGTCATTATTTATGAAAACTTGCGACGAACAGTGGTAAGGCTGCTCAAGGAACACCAGTGCAGGTCAACAAAAGGTTGGTATTGCAATCCAATATCTGAGAAGTAAATGACATTTCTACTTGCTACTGTCCCCACCCTTCCGGTCACATTCAAAATTCTTTCGGCCTCCACCCAGTGAAATACAGAGGTTCAGGTTGCTCATTCCAACATACTGGGGATCAGACCCACTCGGATACACCAGAGGACGGTGTTGTATGTGTCGTGGGGAGAGCAATACTGAACAGATTGTTCCAATGGCACATTGTCTTTCCCATAGAGCTAGAGTAGATGGTGCTGTTAGAAATGCAGATGTCAAAGGATACAGGTATCAGGAAAGGAACCACAGGAACTAATTCATGCAAAGTTATTGCCAACCATCAGTCACACAGTTACCTTCCAGGAGAATGAATTTGATGATTAAAAACAGGTCTTTGGTTAGAAAAGAAAGAAATGAGATAATTAACAAAATCAAATTCAACATTACATGGAACAAATGCACTGACAAGATTAAAGTTTTAAAAAAAAAATTTGCATTTACGTAGCACCACTTTACCACCTCAAGACCAAAGTGCTCGACATGAGATGTGCGGGCACCGCTGAATGTAGCCAATTTGCACACAGCAAGATTCCGCAAACAGCAATGTGAAAACGACCAGTTAAGCTGCTTTAGTGACATTGATTGGGGTATAAACATCAGCAAGGGAAAACTGCCCGAACCTCTTTCATGCAATCTTTTACAACTAACTAACAGGGCAGACAGGGCCTCGGTCTCAGAATAAGAACAATGGCTCAATCCAGACAGTTATGTTAAATAAATTCCTGTCTTCATTAATAAGGTTCTGAATCAGTGGAGTTTTTCTTCAATTGTTCTCCCTCAGCATTGGGTCTCAAAATGGGCCATTTCACACATTCCAAACCTTTCTCAGAAATTCGTTGGCGCTGCTAGCGCCGTGATTTAATTGGAACTTACTGCATGCTTTTTAAGTCATGCATCGGAGCCACTCTGTTCAGCGGAAAACGTGGCACAGTCAGGTTCCAAGATTGCTCCCTTGGCTTCTATCAAGATGACTCAGAACCTGGCCACAGCCTTCCTCGCTGAGCGAGTCCGAAAGCACCACATTTAGATGCCTAAATGATGGAAGCTGTCACCTCAGGATAGACATGTAAAGTCAGATCACAGCAACAATCTCATCCAAACTATAGCACTGGGTGGGTTGTGCCTATGTGTAGTGGTTAACTCCATCTTCAAGCTAATGTGCTTTGTGGTTTTATCCGCTGGATATATCACAGAGAATTGGCTTCTAAGTCCATCAGCCAGTCTGTTCCGCTACTCAGTGGTATATTGACTGATCTGATAATCCTCAACACCACATTCCTGCCTTTTCCCATTAATCCTTCATTCCCTTACTGATTAAAAATCTACCTCAGTCTCAACAGCAATACAGTCATACAGCACAGAAACAGGGCCTTTGGTCCAACCAGTCCATGTTCTCTGCGTCAAAGAATTCCACAGTTTCGCCACCCTCTGACAGAAGAAATTTCTCCTCATCTGTCTTAAATAAGATTATGCCCTCTGATACTAGACTCTCTCACAGGAGGGAAAACAACCTCTGTGTATCTATCCTGTCAAGTCCTCTAGGAACCTTTTATGTTTGAGTAAAGTCACCCCTTGTTTTTGTACACCCCAACTAGTACAGGCCCAATCTACTCAACATCTCCTCATCAGACAGTCCCACCATACCTGTTATATGCGGGTACAGTTGTGCCACCTTTTCTGGATTGCTTCCTGAAATAAGTGCACAGGGGCAGACATCGAGTCACCTTTGTACACATGTGCATAGTATATGAGCTCTAACCAGCCAGTTCAAAGCCAGTCCCTAGACTGAGGAGACCTTCGGAATCTCCTGTTTATATCTGTCAGCCAGGGCTCCCTGATTGGGGTTGTTAATCTGGACCAATCAAGGATCCGAGTCAACCTGGTTCCAAGCACTACATCCCTCCCCCTTTAAATCCAGGGACGTACGCCCATGAAAAAACCGGCATAGTCGACGTGTAACCAAGTCCAGGGTTTACCCGGCCAGTCCCATAAACGTGGGGGTGCCGCCGGCAGTAACGTTTCTCCCTGTTGGCACTCTGGGCACTGTCCCATCAACGCAGCTATGTCAGCATCCAGTCCTCGCGAGCAGACATTGCTTCTTGCCAACATCTTCATTTTGGAAATCCCTGGGCAACCCTGGGGTTCAGACAGTATCTGGTGGCAACCTCTCCTTGGGAAAATCACTCTTGCTCCCCACAGTAATATGCTGTTCTCTGTGGTGATCCAGTTTTGCCAGATCTAGAAAGGTTTCAATCCTGGTTCTGATGGCCCTCCTATTTCCCCCATCAGTACCAGCTGTTTTAGTTTCACTAGGACAGGATATTTCTGGTGTCCACAGTCAGATATTGTCGATGGTGACCGGAAGGTGTCTAGAAAGTTTAAAATCAGAACGGACTCTTCTAGGGGAAGTACCTCTGGTAGGGTATCTGCCTAGAGGGAGTTGGGTCAAGGCAGGCCCCTAGACTGAGAAGATTCTCAATTTCCTGTTTGTATCTGTCAACTAGGGCTCCCTGATTTGCCCAGGTTAACAACTCCAATCCGGATCACATAGTCACTGGCCCTGGTTCCAATCACTACACCTCCAATTCCTGCTTATTTTTCCTTAGATAAGGGGCCCCAAACTGTTCATACTATTCCATCTGTGGTCTGACTGGTACCTTCTCTAGTTTTAGCAAAACCTCCTTATTTTGATATTCCATTCCCTTTGAAGTAAGGCCAACATTCCCATTTACCTTCCCCATTACCCATTGAACTTGGATGCTGGCTTTCTGTGATTGATGGATGAGGGCTCCCAAATCCCTCTGCTCTGTAGCTTTTTGCAGCTATTCTCTATTTACTTAATATTCAGCTCCTCTATTCTTCCTGCCAAAATAAATTAGCTTCCATTTCCCCACATTACTTTCCATTTATTGATTGTTCTTGATGAGACAGATGACTTGGAGTTTATTTACAACATTCAGCTCGGACATCATAGGGTCACACACATACATTCTGGATTCTGTGTTTGCTGATGTTATCGTACATTGTTACTTCATTGGTCAGTGTATAATCACTGCTATTGGGCTCAACAATTTTCAGTGTGGATATCAGCTCCGTACAGTCTCCGAGATACAATTAAATACATGGATCAAAGTCGCAATAATAGTTAAGCAACACATTTACTCACTGGACTGGCGGATGACAATTTTGTTGGACAGGGCTGTGCCACGGTCATTCATTGCCGTGCACTGATACTCTCCTTCGTAAGTTTCTGCTTTCCCGCCACCCACTATGTTAATGTGTAGTGTCCCTGAGTTTGGCTTCATTGTCACTCGCGGGTCTTTGTCCAGGTTGAAATGGGTTCCATTGCGGGTCCAGGAAAACCTACAGAAAGGTGCCGTGCAATTAGAAAACAAAAGCAGATCCCCAAGACGCCAGGTTCTTGCAGCAAATTTCTACAAGTTTCTGCATTCACATCATATGGTTCAAAGTTTCATGCCCTCATTTTTAGTAGAATATAAAAGAATGGGTCACGTTAGGAACTTTGAATTACAAGGCTGTAGAGTCACGCCCCACTCCAAAATTTCAGTACGAAAGCTATGCTGTCACTGTGGGAGACAGGGTGGTCTTTGGGCCAAGACAGGAGGAAATTGTCCTGTTTACTTCAGTGAAGTTTCTCCCTTGACCAACCTCAAGAAAGTCTGGCTCCTGATTCTTAGGTAACAGGGTCACAGAATTATTACTGCTCAAAAGGAGGCCATTCAGCCCACTGTGCCCAGGCAGGAACCCAATATGAATGCCCAAGTCCATTCATAATGAGTTTAAACCGAGATAACATCCCAATTAACAGAACTGATCTCGGGCACAATTTGGATTTGAACGCCAAGGACTGGAAAACACAATAAATGGGAAAGGAAAAGGCCAAGATTCTTCAACTTTGACCTCTTCCAACACAAAGAAATGGCAGTATTCAATACTTAACAAGGTCACAAAATACACAAATACCAGAACTTATTCATTGGTTACCTTGGGGAAAAATATATCCAATCAGACTATACTAATTGCAAAACCAGGACAGAAAATGCACAATGATAAAACCAGGTCATATGTGTATCACAATGATGGGTACTGCAGGATACCCTGAAAGCAATGTCACCCAAAATAATTTAAAAAAAAAGAAAACAAAAAACCCTGACCGATAACACAGGGCACAATGGTAAAGAACAGCAAAAGGGGGATAAATCAGAAAATCACATTATTGTTACAAAGCAGGTGGCAGTTATTTGTCTCTTTGGTTCTTGCACTGGCTCTTCAAATCAGCATCCTTACCTAATGCCAATCTCCTGCCTTATCCCCCTTGGCCTTGCACACTATTTGAATCAGTCAATGCCCTCTTGAATTGACCTTGCCTCAATTGAACATGCCTTCACCATTTTCCAGGTCCTTCATTTCATACCCTAACTACTTGCTGTGTGAAGAAGGCTTTTTCTCACATCACCCTTGCTCCTTTTGCACATCATTTTAAATCTACATCTTCTCATTCTCATTCCTTTTACGAGCAATAACAGCTTCTCACCATCTCCTCTGTCTAGCCCAGTCATGATGTTTGAAACCTCCATCAAATGTCCTCTCATCCTCCTCCTCTCCAAGGAGAACAGTTCCAACTTCTTCAGGAATGAGGTTAGATTGAAGTTTCTCATTCCGGGGGCCATTCTTGTGAATCACTTCTGCACTCTGTGCAATGCATTCCCATCTTTTCCATAACGTGGCACCCACAAATGGACACATCAGCTGAGGTCTAGCAAGTGTCTTGTACAAGTTCAACTTCACCTCCTTGTTCTCGTGCACTATGCCTCGAATAATAAAGCCAAAGATGCTGTCAGCTTTACTAACTGCCCTTTCCACCTGTCCTGCCACTTCCAATGATCTGTGCACATCTGCACCCAGGTCCTTCTACTCTTGCACACCGTTTAGAATTATAGCCCCTGTTGTATATTGTCTTTCAGTGTTCTGCCTACTGAAGTGCATCAGCTCATATTTCTCTGCATTGAAACTCATCTACCATATATCTGCCCACTCAACCAACTTGGCCATGGCCTTTCGGACTTTGACACTTGCCTGCTCATAGTTTACAATTCTTCCAAATTTGTCATCTGCCAACTGTGAAACTGTCCCCCACACAACGACAGCCAGATCATGAATTCATATCAGGAAAAGTAAAGGCCCCAATACCTATCCCTGGGAACCTCTACCGCAAACCTTCCTGCAAATCAAAAAATATGACTTGACAATTGATCTCTGTTTTCTATCACTCAGCCAATGTGAATCTACTTTTATACCAGGGCTGATAACTTTCATCAGCGTGGTAATGTATCAAACACTTTGTGGAAATCCACGTATATCACTTCAATGGCATTAACCTCATGTAGGCGGTCAGTTCTTCAAAAGCTCCAGCAAGTCAGTTAAACATGATTTCCCCTTTTAAAATCCATGCTAACTCCTCTTAAAATCAACCCACCTTTTTCCATTTGACTATTAATTCTATCCTGAACAACTATTTTGAGAAGCTTCCCCACAACTCAAGTTAGACTGGTCTGTAATTTCTGGGCTAATTCTCATAAGCTTTATTGAACAAGGCCGTAGTGTTTGTAATTCTCCAGTCTTCTGGCGTCTTTCCTGAATCCAGGAAAGACAAAGATTATGGCCAGTGCCCCTGAAATTTCTACCCTCACTTCTTTCAAAATCCTTAAATGTATCTCAGCTGGCCCTGTTTCCTTGTCAATTTTAAGCACGAAGAATTTGTCCAAGTATTTTGCAAACCCCGATAGTCACGTCTACTTTTCTCTCTTGGTTCCCACACCCTTGCCAAGATAGTTTAAAGACTTCCAAAAATAGTCAAGAGCTGGTATAAAACTTGACTGAGGGAAAGGCATTCCTCTGATGGTACTTTGCCTTTGGGGGTATATTTTGCCCTGTTTGCTTTTTGAGCAGAGGTTTTAAGATATAGGTGAAGAGATGTCTATTTGAATCCAATAAAGGAAACACAGTTTGTGAGGCCCTGGGTTCTCTTTTAAAGTTGAAACAATAGAAGCAGCCTGAATGGGTGGGGTCAAGCTCCTACAGATTTTAGTTTAGTTTTTCAGCAGGAGTTGCTGCTAGGTTCTTGAAGCTGGATGCAGAAGCATGTTTTTCCTCTGTGTTACAGCTACAGCTGGGGGTTCTCCACCTGCTGCTAGAATTGCAAATGAGACAATCTATTTCACTGAATTTACCTTTACCAAGGGTGTGTCTGTGGCATGTTGCTACATTGGAACAGTTACTGTTTAGCAGTTAAATAATTGATCATTCTGTTTAGTTTTCCAATAGAGTTAAGTTATTCTAATTTCTTCTTTCTTTTGTTGTATTTTAACTATAGTGGTTGAATAAAGTATGCTGTGCTTCAAGACTGGTAGCTTGACCAATCAAATTACATCTGGAATGCAACCCCTGGCACTTGCCCTTAAAATAAGAAAAAAAAAGTTATGGTCTGGGCTTGAGGGGGTTTGGTCTGATCTATAGCATTCCATAGTTTGAAGGTCCTAAGCAAAGCAAAGCAAAGCTACAATGAGAGATGTTGTGACGAGTGTTGATTTCAAGGAGTTGAAAACATCGAGGGACAAACAATATTGAGGATGGTCGTTTCAATCTCAAGGCCTGCAATTTATCCCGCACCTTGATAAATTGTTCAGAACCTCTCACAGCTCATCATACACAATATGCCCTGAAGAAGGGTCACTGGACCTGAAGCGTTAACTCTGATTTCTCTCCACAGATGCCACCAGGCCTGTTGAGTTTTTTCCAGCTATTTCTGATTTCCAGCATCCATGGTTCATTTTTTTTTGCCCTCATACACAATGTACTTCAGAATAAGTCAATGACTATTATGTGACTGAACATTCCAACCTGTTTTCAAAAGGCAGAATCGCACCAATGGGCAACGGGGTGAATAGTAACGACTTCATTTGTGTCTGACGGCACCGATTCAGGGGTGGGTGGGGGTGATATTGGCCACGACAAACTTAGGAGGAATGTCCAACAAAACAGAGAACAGAAGGATCAAGTAAATTTGACATAATGAGGAATGGTGAAGCCTGGACATGAGAGAGACATCAAGAAACAATGTGACACATATTCTGAGTTTGAGAGTTCCTGTACCCCCTCATTCGGATTTCAACATCTCCTTTGAGATAACTGGTGATCCTGACGAGCAATACAAACCTGGGAGCTGGTTTCCCCTTTGCCTCACATTGGATCAGTATGTTATCCCTTGGATCAATTATGTAATCCTTTGGAGACTGGTGGGTGATTGTAGGGGGTTGCGGCACTGGATGGGAAAAAAAAAAGCAGAGGGGGAGACCACGAATTAAAATGATGTTCAACCATTAACAGGGCATCAGCAGTTTTAAACGCAACACTCAAGTACTGTTCAAGCCAATTTGCCACATCAATGAGAATCCTTCAAGCTGCATGTAGATTCTGTGCTCTTCAGGAGACCCTGAGCAAAACTGGGAGTTCAGCTTCCCACCAGCTTGTTCTCGAGGGTCAGCCCTTGTCTCTCTGCTTCCCTGCACATATCTCGGAAGTCTAGTCAATTTCACAGGGGTTACCAAGCCCCTGGAAAGTGGCAGAGGGAAGGAAGAGTCTCAATCCCCTCCGAGAATTCTTCGGACACAATAGCCAAGTGATTAAAACGGATTTTGATTCCAAATTTTGTTTTCATTGCTGGGTGGTCAAAAAGTGGACAGTGTGGCTTAGAAAATAGGGCAGCAGCAACCATTAGGGAATCAGTAACAGAGGAACGGCAAACCCTCACAATTCCAGTGGACTCCAATACTGTTGGAGCATGCAGCTAGATTCTGGCTTGACCCGGCAAACAATCATTGGCTGAACCAAGTCCCAGAGACGTGCAAACACGACTCAACAACACAAACAGTGAATTGTTCCAACACACCGTTACCACACAGTCACAGCAAAAAAAAACACACACAAAAGGAGCAATGCACATGCAATGACCACCCTGGGCAAGGCTGACTCAGGCATTAAAAACGGCAAACAAATACAATACTTCAAACTGAAAGGAACACACTCTGAGGCTTTCGCCACACACCTTACAGGACACCAACTTACGTTCATCCAGAATTTTTGCTTTAATCCCCAGAATCAGCAAATGAGAGGGTAAACAGAACAGGTTTGTGGGAAAAAAGGGGAAGAAAACACACTGTCAGTACGGAAAAAGTTGCCGCCATATACTTACTGTATAAGTCATGCCAATCGTTTTGGATATGGCTTGGTTCCTACTTCAAGGTTAATGAGCAAAAAGTAAGTTGGTTGACTAACATTGGGAAAAAAAAAAATCACACTGTTTTGTATTTTGTGTCAGTGGAAGAAACTGAAGAGAAATAAATTACTTCCTGGTTAAGGCAAGCTTGGAATTTAACAGATCCCACAAAAAAATCTTGTGTCTTTTTTTTGAAACAACAGGAAATGCTTTTGTTTTTATCTGCAGTTATTTTGCATGTAATTATTCTGTACTAGGTGTGTGTCAACAGGCTCTGTCTCTCCATCATCCAGCTAACACTGGGCAGCCACCAACTTAAAGTTATCTCTGCACCTTAAGCCATCGGCACACTGAACTCCATTTCCTCTCCCCCAGCAGACAGTCCAGGAACAGCACAGGTTCGATATTGAATAAAACTCCTGTGACACTGTCCCATCAATGCAGGAATGGCACTGCCCTATGGTTTACGTACAGTTCTTTTTGATGAATAAAGAAACATCAGTGCCTAAAAGGCCTGAAGCACATTATTTCACACTGTTGCAGACATTATTGCAAGTGGCAGAACGTCTGTAAACAAAGCCATTAATATCTTTACAAGGACTGCACCCAGCCCTTCCTGCTTCTGAACTGCTGCTCTGAGAGACACACACAGCCCTGCTTTAATTGCCAGACATATTGCAGTTATGATGAAAGAAAAGCTGTCCACTTAGTTAGCTTGTAAATAATTAAACCCATCCATCATAGAACCATACATCACCCTCCTATACCTCAGGAAATGATCTGAATAGCTCTCATGTCAAATGAATTACAACACAGCAGTAAATCCCTTTTTTGTAAGTGAGGAGAAACTGTAAAGTAAATTAGCCAAACGAGATTGAAGTGAAAAACAAAGGCTTCCCATTTTCTATTCTTCTTATAAATACTATCAAAAGATTGCTCACCTTATTGCTGAGATAACAAGGTGTAGAGCTGGATGAACACAGCAGGCCAAGCAGCATCATAGGAGCAGGAAGCCTTCCTGCTCCTA